TGTAAAGATATTTAACCTACATGTCGACTTATCAACTTTTATTAGTCGACATGGCAAAACAAATTATCTTGCCAAGTCGACTTCACAAAAAGTTCATGTCGGCATGACGACATAAGTTACCTTACCAAGTCGACTTCTAAAAAAAATACATGTCGTCATGGCGACATGTATTATCTTGCCAAGTCGACTTCACAAAATAGTTCATCTCGTAATAGCGACATAAATCATCTCACCAAGTCGACTTCCCAAAAAGTATATGTCGTCATGGCGAGACATGTAGTGTGACGACTATTTCATGCAGCGCGCGTACGTGTAGTTCATTCACAGTCGACTAGTCTAGGTCTAGTGATGTTATTAAGTCGACTCAGTAACATATTTTATCTCGCCATGTCAACATGTACTTCATCAAGACGACTTGGCAAGATATTTTTATTTCGCCATGACGACAGATACTTTTTGTGAAGTCGACTTGGTAAGATAATTTATGTCGCCATGACGACATGAACTTTATAGGAAGTCAACTTGGCAAGATAACTTATGTCGCCATGACGACATGAACTTTTTGTGAAGTCGACTTGGCAACATAATTTATTTCGCCATGTCGACTAATAAAAGTTGATAAGTCGACATGGTAAGTTAAATATTTTTACATGTCGACATGATATGAATATTAAGTCAACTTGACAAGATGGAATATCTTGTCATGTCGTCAAGTAGAATGGCACTTTAACGCTTCCGTACTCCACACTTGCATAATACAATGATAACGCTCGCAAATTATTTGTCACCTCTTCCCAGAACTCAACCTTCTCTTTAATCACGATCAGTTTCTCTTCTCTCCCTTTCCTCTATTGTAATGCACTCTCGCACTTTAGTCTCTTCTCTTCTACAAATTTCAAAGGTACACAGAACATATTGAACCATTCACATCTCTTTTTTCATTAGACTTGTTTTATTGCAAAAATCTAATTGTACACTATGTTTACAAAATCATTGAAGACCATTCTTTCAACAAAAAATGCCCCAACACAACAACACACCAGTCACTATTGTTATTAAAGAGAATGACATGACCTTGTTCCCTATTCACAAAAGCTGTGAGCCATGAAGTAGAGATTCTATATTTAAAAGGATGTATCTTATGAAATACATTCATGTGATCAACGTGTACACACTTTATCTTGATGTTCATATCTATGATAAGTAGATACAATGCACATTTCAAAGGCCTAAAATCGTATACGAACACCAAATACGGTAGCTCAGTATTGTTAATCTCCAATATTAAATGGATGAGGAGGAAGAAGAAGAAGAACTACAGGACTGAATCACAACTGAGAATTCTGAGCACTCCACATTCAAGTGTTCAAAAGGTTGAGATAAATCATTGGTAAATGACTTTACACTGACAGTTATTATTTAACTATCACAACGTTTTCTTTTCTTCACAATAATGGACTCTCAAAAAAAAGGTTTCACACTTATTGTTTATTTCTCACATATTACAACTGAATCTAGAATTTCACTTCCTATTAAATCATTGTTCAGGCGAGATTTCCTTACCATGATCATCTGACAGTAAGATTCATTGTATGGGGTAAAATATTGAATTGTACAAATATCTAACTTCAAGTGCTTGGAAAGTGAGATGAAAAGTTTCAGTTACACAGATTATTTTATAGAGTACTAATTACTAAAACAGACTTTTGCATCTTGGATACCGTAGTTCTCAGAGATTTCATATATCTCAAGAGCACTATTGTTCTTAAAAAAAACAACTTCATTGGGCATTTATGTTGGTGCCGGTTCCAAATATTTTGGATGGAAATGCTAGACTTTCTTTAACAGGTAAAAAACCAACAGCATTCTCTTAAACTTGGGGAAAATCTGCATAGTAAATTTCAATTTACTTTACTACAGTAATGTAAAAGATTTCTTCCCATGTTTATAAATCTTCAGTCAAAGGAATCAATCATGCCTTTACATCAAGATCTTGATAACAGTGACTAGTATAAGTGCCATTCTATGGTTTCACTGTACTTCTAATCATATTTATCACTCTAAGGCTGTGTCTGTACAAGGACATTTGTCATTGACATTTGAACATGCGGATTGGAATATGACCAATCAAGAGGGTTATGCCAGTGTACATGTTTTACATATATAACATAAACAACATAAGCAGATCACAATCACAAGTCTAGGTAAAATGGCGCAATCTTAACCCCTTGCATACTGGAACCTGGTGGCCCCTGTATTAAGCCTATGGCAATGAAGGAATTCAGTAGTCTACGGGTAGTCAAACCTGCTTTAGTGACCACCTGTCTACAAAGGCCACACGTTTTGTTTCCCTTGAAAATGGTTTCTCAATGAAACATGTACTATAGGCACCTGTACAAAAAGACCTACCTGTCTATAAAGACCACTTTGCTTGTCTCCCTTGGGTGGTCTTTATAGACAGGTTACAGTGTATATAAAATTGAGGTATTTGAGCACTCTCAGTACACAGTATGGCCAATGACAAGGATACATCCATGCATGCTACATGCAGGGCTCCACACTAACTGTTCTAGAAGGGGGTCTAGATTGAACTTTATACAGTCTGTACGCATGAGCCCTATGTACAAATGTCAAAACTTTGGGATCCTGACTTAGATTTAGGACGCCCATGTGTCTCTGGCGCCTGTTAGTGTTGAGCCCTTCTCATGTACTACTTTTCTATGAATTTTCACGTCTATGGTCTATACAATATTAGGGACTTTCAGATTTGCGTGGACTGATACGTGTGACGTCCATTCAAGGCAGTGCATTAAAAAGACATCGACCATAGCAATCCACATTGTCTTCGTGCAAATCTAAAAGTCCCTATTAATTCATCTCTGTCATTACACACCCTCTCTCTCTCAAAATATATGAGGAAGAGTAAACTGTGAAATGACCATTGTTGACAAGAACATGTTTGATAAACAGCGCAATATATTGTCACTTTCACTTTGTGTAGTATAACTAATACCTTCTAGATGACTTGGTTAAAAAACATGTTATGTTTGCAGAACAACCAAGCCTGCGTGGGAAACATGGAATTAGAAATATGACAAATGGTCTCTTGTGACTAGTGCTCCTTGAGCAAAGTATATGGGTTGTCTGTCAGAAAATTCTACTTTCAGAACTTTGATCATAATTTTGTTGACAAGAACCTAATTGATAAACAGCTCAATTATATTCTAACTTTCACTTTGTGTAGTTTAACTAAACCAGTATGTTCATGCATTCTAGATGACTTGGTTAAAAACATGTAATGTTTGCATAACAACCAAGCCTGCGTGGGAGACTTGAAAATAAAATATATGACAAATGGTCTCTTGTGACTAGTGCTCCTTGAGACAAGTATAAGGGTTGTCTGTCAGAAAATTCTACTTTCATTCTTACCTTTAAAGAGAGAACTTTGATAACAATTTTGTTTGGTAAGAGCAGCAAAAAGAGAGAGAGAAAAACTTACAGATGCTGAATGGGGAAGTATGAAATAATATTTATACAATTGGATGTTTCAAGTCTAGTCTGGATTTAAAATGGTAATTACTGTACAAACTGTTCCTAAGACCATTCAGAGCCTACTAACATGAGAGGTACATAGAGTTTTTAGAAACACAACCTGATATTTTGTAAGAAAAGTACATACCGGTATATAAATGACAGATACACATATGATCTATGTATAGCAAAGGCATTTATATGCATAAACTTTGTTTTTTAAAGAAGAGGAAAGACAAATATACTGTACAGTTCTTGTACTAAATTACATTCATAGGGCAAGTTGACAATGATTCTGTTTAACTGTAACTCTAACTGTTTTTGCATACAAAAATACAATTCCTCATCATTATCAATAGCAATTTTGGTATGTATCATGGAAAAATGTATTTACCAATTTCCATAAATTGACCAAGTTTTTTTAATAATAATTATAAGATCAAGAAATAGTAGTGGATCCTTTTTTTTATGACAGTGCTTCTCTACAATGGCTCTTCAATTATGTAAGATAAGGTAAACACTGTGCAGAGGAGTACCCCCACCCCCTCCCAGCTCTAAACAAAATTTAAACACTCTCCTCCAGGTTGCCTTACATACTGGCATGTTAATAGCGAATAAATGGATAAATAACTGGTAGTCTACATTTGCCACACCCCACCCATGCGAGGTGAATGGGAATCAGTAGGAAGACTTGATTTCCCCAGGTCCTTATTAGGGAAGTGAGGCTATTAAAAGCTGGAGTATCATGATTCATGCATCTAAAAATAATAGGTAAGTAGACATATCAGGCAATATAGGTGCATTATACAGGGCTCCACACTAACTTCATTTGAAGAGGGTCCAGGGGGGTGTTTCACAAAGATTCCAAGTTGAACTTTTCTCTAAGCTGGACTTAACAATTATTGAAAGCCGTTAACATCTATGAAAATATTTTGTAAAAGTTATTTTAAAAGGCATAAAATGTTGATTCAAATCATGTTCTTGACCCGGAATTTATAAAAAGTCTAAAATACTTGATTTTTCGCTTATGAATAAATTTTATTTTAAGGCTACAAATGGCTCTCCATAATTTTTAAGTCCAACTTAGGATCTTTGTGAAACACCCCCCAGATAGAGTTTTTTAAGGTTGTTATACTGTATACATGTCTGAGCCCTATGTAAAAATTTTGAATTTCGAGGGAAGGGGGGTTTCGACCCAATGTCACTGGCGCCTGTTATTGTTGAATCCTGCATTATATTATTAATACCAATACAGAGCATGATCAAGTGCATGACATCATCATTGCTGCTGCCCTCTACAGTTTGCATTTAGCAATGACACAGAAAACAAATGATGGAAGAACCATTCCATGTGGTCTCCTTTATCATCCACAATCCAACTCAATGCACCTGTTAAACACAAGAAACCTGTTTGGTGTACATGGTTCTACAGCTGAGCAGACAGGATGGTGGATGAGACTTCATGTTCCATGTTTCCTTCAGTTTCTTGAATTTAGGCCTGAAATATTCCTTGCCTGCAAAGACGAGAAAGGTTTACATGTTAAACCTTGAGTTTCATCTACAAAATTAGGCAATGCATGAACGGATGTAGGACAGGAGTGTTATAAATATATTAAGAAACACAGTATAATCTCCTTCCATTCTTTTTAATTCTCATTATACTGAACAGTTTAAATCAATATACATTTAAATTATTCATTCCTCTTGTAAATGTTATGTTTTTTAACTCAAGAATGAAAGTTGGACTGGTTGAATTACAGCCATTTTTGAATACCTTAAGATGTAAGCTTTAATATGTCACATTCTCAAGAAACGCAAATCGGGACAAATCATTTGTTGATGGTAAGGGTATGAATTTAACTCTGAAGTTGTTCACTGTACATGTAGGCAAGGATATCTTGTTTTAAAGGTTGCAAGGCAATTCTAGTTAGTGGCACACACACACACACACACCCACTGAAATAAGAATCACAGATGAAATGGGATCATTACATGTTGGTGATCTAATATTGTAGTCTGACTTCAATATCTGAATTTTATAGTATTTGTATCTCAATAAACAAGTAGGTTTTCAGGGGCATCATATCGATAACAATTAACCTTTGAATCATAGCAATATGAAATGTGTTATATCATGCTCATTGGGCAAGCTATTTTGTGCTACAGGGTTTGGCTTTGAAGTTAATTTCAAGCAAAGCTCTACGCAAATAAATGTAAAATCAAATTGTGAACATTGCACCAAAAACGTAAGAAGTGACTTCAATATATCTCCTCAAACAGTTGAAGGAAACATGCATGCTCTCTTCATGCCTTTTAAAAGCCTGATATTCAGGATTTGTTTTTAATGTTGAAAGAAATGCACCACCACTGCAGTTATTACATACAAACCTCTTCTCTCTAATCTTTTCACAATGCTATATAACTAGTTTTCTTAATCTTTCAAATATTTAATTTGAGGTCATGTTACTGCTCATCAAGGTGTATGCGTGCCATACAAATTAAGATCTTCATCTTTAACAACTCAGCAATTCATGGAATGGGATGAAAAACCTTACTATTATTTTTTCTCTTCAAAAACAATTATTTCTTAGATGCTACTTATAAGTATCGGCTTGCATGGTGATGTAGATGTAATTATTTCTTGTTTATGAACTTTGTATATCCTTGGATACTTACAGAAGTGATTGCTGCTGACATGAATTCATTCATTGCACTACTCGCAGTCTCCATCTGAAGGGAAAGAATAGTAAAATAGTGAATTATTACATGTATCATAGAAATGAATCACATTGATCAAATACGTATCACATCATGCTTACAATGCGTTCTTCATTTGGTGCCTATACTGCATACGAACTAGACAAGATATTCCATGTCAAAGGCTTCCTCACTCAAATAATGACAAAATGAGAAGAAAAAAAAGCAATATAACCTGTTGAATAGCAGGTCCAAAATAACTTTGTTTAAACTTTAATTGGAAATCTGTGCTAAGTGAAAAGTAATTGTTTCCAACAAATTCCAAACAAATTCCTAAAATAACTATAATATTTGTGTGTTTGGATTAATATAATTTTCAGTGACAACAAGTACAGAATTGGATAGCAAGTATTGTATCCCTCTATTGATAATAAAATACAAAATTGGAAGGAAAAGTGAACATTGTTTTAATAGTTCAAATCTGATTTTCTGCAAACTTTGGACTAATTAGAAAGTAGCCATGAGCCATTAATAAGGCACCAAGCAGACCTCAGTGTGTCAAAAGGTTTTACCTCTCCTCTGAACTTTGCGAATCTAGTAAAGTCTGTCAGCCTGTTGTCTAAAAATGTCCAGGTTTCTTCAAAATCTGGTGACTTATCCTGAATAAAGCACAGTTCTGTACTCTTATACACCGCTGCTAGGGATAGTCGCTTGGTGTACCAGTTGAACTAAAATGAATAATAAAAAAAATTAACGGCATATTAGTTGAAAAGAAAAAAAATCAGACAAATTTTGTTTGATAATACATTAGTATACAAATAATCTACTGTGAATATATAAAACATTGTAGAGAATGTCCCCATCCTCAATGAAAATGTGTTTGCAGATATAAGATTTGTCTATATATTGTTCACCAGCTAGAGAGGGAGACAGAGGAAGATAAGTCTACATTTCACTGAATATCTATTCTGCTAAGAATGCAGTAAACATTCTGAAGAGCTATTTGTTGTTCGTGTCAGGAACATTAGTTCTTCCATTGTGATTTTAAGGACGTTTAAATAGATTTAATACTTTACAATGGATTACAGTCTTCTCGAATAGAAGGTGAAAGGTGCTATATCAATCAATGTCTGGATTTAGAAATCTGAGAAAATAGAAAAACTAAAGTATTAAAACAGCAGAATAAACAGATGTAGGATCATAATGAGAAGAAATTAAATGAAGATTAATAAAGAGGAAACAATAAAAAATACAGAAAAAAGAGGGGGGAAAGGAGAATGAATAAATAACTTGAAGATGTGAAACTTACATCTGCTGATTTATCTCCGGCATGATACCAGATAGTATCCATGAGGTTTGCTAGATTACTGAAGTGTTCTGCTATATTCTCAGGTCGAGCTGTAAGACACATAGCTTCAGGCCACTGTGCATGATACGGGATGATCATTCTTAGACGAGTCTGTAAGGCATCACGGATTACAGCACCTGTCTTCTTCCTGTGGTTAATCAAGTCAATTGAGATCACATTGGTTTTTATATTTGATATGCCTACTTAATTATATTGCTTTATACTTTGTCCTGTTTCTATAATAATTCTTATATTTCTTCTACCATGCAAAAGCAAAATATAAAAAAGAACATAGCAATATGTCTCTTGTTGGTACAAATAACTTGTTATGATTTTTTTTATTGAGCACATATTGTTGCAGAAAAAATAAATATAAAACCTGTGAGTTGTAGGTGATAAGACATTATTAATGATGTAATTTTGAAAGGAATGAAAACAAATTGATTTTGGGGTGCATTGATATAATCAAACCTAAGTTAAAAAAAAGGAGCGGTTAAAAATGTGATTTATATAAACAAATACTAAGCAAGAAATGATTGTCTATTTTTTAATTTATTTATTTATTTATTTATTTATTTATTTATTTATTATTTATTTATTTTTTTTTAATTTTTTTTTTTTGGGGGGGGATTTTTTTCTAGACTTTCAGCCTAGGGCAAACTGAATTAGCATCTAGAAAAGAAGTGAATCTGAGGAAGATATTTGTCTGAGTTACTGATGAGTCCAGGGATAACACAACATACCTCTCTGCTTCCTCCACTTCTTTACTGGCTTCCAAAGCCAGTTGCTCTGCTAACTGTGAGTTACACTCCTTCACAAAATGATGCATGAGATCACCCCCACCTCTAGGGAACATCCCATGGGCTACTCCAGGGTAGCCTTCATGCTTGGCAGCCTCAGAGAGGGACTGGACTGTCCAGCCATGGATGGGTACAAACTCTAGAGCAGTGTTGAGTACAATCTTCTGGATGTCCTCTACACTGGGTTCCTCTTCATGAGCTGACTGATCACTCTCTGATGAAGATGATGAGTCACTGCTACTCCGGGCTTCACCGTCTCCTTGTCTGTATCTCATCGAGGTGGATAACCATCTACAGTTCAGTCCTGTGCAATGAAATTATTTTAAAAAAAATAATAGGCTTCCATAACTTTTATTTTGTGGTGAATGAACCAAGTATTAAAGAAAAATGAATGAATAAATAAATAAATTTAGAATACATAAATAAATAAGCAAAGAAACCTTTGTTTTCATCAATCAACCTGTTTTGTCTACTCTCCTCACATGAGAGATTTATTTTCCTAAAATTTTTAAGAAATTTGGGCTCTATAGAATTGATCTAGGAATAGTAGGATTATAGACAATGATAGATATTAGTTAGATCATAGATCTAAATATCATCAAGCATTTGTGAATCCTCTTTCTCTTGGTCCAATTACATAGAGCCGGTCTTGTTCAAGACGATTTGTGTATAGGTACCAAAAAGCTTGCATAAGGTCTATATTGGAATATGCATTTCAAGTCTTTTGCGGGGGCCTAAACAAAGAACGATCTAATTATTGGAATCAATACAAAAAGGTGCCTTGAGAATAATCACCCCAACCTACCTTATACTAATGCTTCAAATGTACTGAACATTGATTCCCTAGCTGATCGTAGAAATAATATGTGCTTACAATTATTTAACCAAATACAGAAACCAGAACACAAACTAAATGACCTTCTACCACCAAAATGAGAGATATCGAGAGAAATATAACCTTAAGAGAAGTAAACAAGTGAGTCTGCCCAGGTGTAAAACAAACCGATTTAAGAATAGTTTTATCCTAGCTTGGCCTTTGGTGAGTGTATAATTTACAATAAGCAGGTGATTAGTACAATATATATTTTCAACCATTCCATATTCTTGCCTGCCGTAGCAACAAACAGAGTTGACAAAAAGTCTTAACTCTGTTTCGTTGACGACCAGCCATGCACATAGAAGACGAAAGACAGGCAGCCATTGAATACAAATTCGTTTACTGAAATTATGGAAATACAAGCATTACTTTAAATTTAAACAAACAGAACTTTGTTTGATATTCCTGGCTCATTGTTCCTGATTGAGGTGTCATATGAGCGGACAGAAAATGAACTTTCTAGAAATGTGATTTTCTCTTTGAAATTCAGATAGATCTAGTCTACCGTCAGCCAAATGACTTTTTGGTAGGGCCTACCCTCTCTTCAAATTGTTTTTAATCACTCATGCATGAAATATGCATCATATGAGCTGCATCAAATGAAAGAGGATCTAAGCTTTACAAATATGTGTCATCTATTTATTATAATTGTGATTAAGTTATGATAGAACATCGATATGTCTCGGTTTCGTTTTTTGTGGGGACGCACTGTACATAGCCGGTGGCTGGTTGGCTCTACGGGTGTGTCATAGTACTTTCGACCGAAAGTTCGGGGGCGCAAGTGAACGAGGCTTCGTAAGACCTCCAGCTTCAGACCGCTTGCAGCAGGCTGCTAGAACGTGAACAACAAGGCCCAAACGTTTCATTTCAAGTAAATTGAATACATTTTCTTACCATTTATATGAAGAAAACTTACCTAACAAGTTCCGAGCAAATCTAAACCCCTGTAAGGTCGCCATTTTCAGTAATTTATGTATGCTTTTGCTAGCAATTTCTGTCGGATATAAATGCTAGGCCCTCTGTAGCTAGCTGTACTGTTTCATAATAATTTTGCTGATGCACTGTGTGTTATGGTTTTTAATATACATGTATGCAGCTGGTATACGGTAGCAGCGAACAATTTTTCACAGGACCACTTACTGCAGCTAGCAGACGACATTCCCTTTTCTGGTTATGCCGTTTAGGCCTAGATCGATCTATATAGTTTAAGTTTTGTTTGCTTGTCTTTTGGGGTGGATACTAGGCCAAATGTATCATAAGCAGGAATCAATGCAATAATTGGCTTCAATCTAATTATTACTTGTGGGCATTAGGAATGAAAATAATTTGGTGTTTGAAATTAATCCCAAGAAAAATTGCATTGACCCATGCAAAAAGGATTTTTTTTATTTATAACTTTCCAGTAACTTATTTTTAATTGAATCCCCCAAATTTCAAGGCTTCAAACTTATAGAAAAATTAAAAACAAAGTGGCAAGAAAGAATGGTAAACTTACTATACATGTTTATAAACAGAGTTTTGAATTTATGGTTGAAACTGGTTTACCAGTTTTTATATAATTATATCCATGATATGTACTGCATTATTTAATTTAAGTATTTATCTTTTTTTCTTCTTCTCTCCTTCTATCTCGATTTTGCTGTTTTTTGCTTGTTTTTTTCCCCATCAATACAAAAAAAAAATCAAAAAAATCCAACCCTAGTAGTAGTTGAATTGAGTGAAAAAGTAAAATTAAAGGTTACCTAAATACTGTGATACAAAATGATAAGGTTATAACTTGTTCAAGATGAGATCACTCAAAACTGGTACAGTGGTCCTTTGACTGAAAAATAAGTATGAACAGCTGCCCCATTTCTTCAACACAATATACATACCTAATGACTTTCTATATCTTTGCCAAGCACCTTTTCCCTCAAGCTTGTACTATTTGTGGCATATTTTGTCAAAGAACCTCCAGAAATATTGGGATTATGCTCCTTGTCCTGAATTACCCAAAATGAGATGCTACACCACATACTTAATACAAAGTTTCTAAGCGCTTGACAAAAATAAAATACAAAGTAATGTTAACCTACAAATTACAACAAATGTATTGCCAGGTTGAAAATTCCATGGTTTGTGATTTTAACAATAAACATTAATCTTTAAACAAAACATTTTATGCAATTTTGTTCAAAATTTCACCCACTTTCTTTTGTTTTCTTTCAAAGAAACTTGTTATAAAGGTTGAACTTTGATGGTACAGTACATGCAGGGAAACATGTATCTGCTCACAACCATGTTAAAAGAGAATGTGATTACATGATGGTTGTTTGAATTTTAAGATAAAGACTCGATTGGCAACAGTTTTTTGAATTGTGAAATATATTCTAAGATAATATTCTGAGACAAATCTTATAAGTTTCATGCCTAATCATGTTTCATATAATTTTTATTACAAACAATAGCAAACAGGCTGAATCCTACTCCTTCTACTTCTATATGGTAATACTCATGCATCAACGCCTGTTCAGCATCGAGATGAGGGATAAAGCATAAAGTTGTTATATACAGCTCTATGCGGTATACAGTTCCTGAAAATGGAACTAAATTGTTTCAAGAGCCACCTTGAACTGCTCCAAAGAAGGCAGTTCAACGATGATTTGAGGTAGCAGTCCTTAAGTGTCCTGGGGAAATAACTTAATTTGTAAGTGTCCATTGAAGAGCCTAGTCTCGTGTATCGTTGTTGTTGACTCCTCCTTGACTTATAGTTCGCTCCCTCGGTTTGATGTAATCCGGTATTGGTATCGCAAATTTATTATTTACTATCTTGTAGAACATTGACAAACGTGCCCGTTTGCTTCTTTCTTCAAGAGTTGGGAGATTAAGTTGTTCTCGCATGGATGTTACACTGGCATCACGCTGGTAGTTTCCACAAATGAAACGAAGTGCACGTCTTTGGACCTTCTCTAGTTGGTCTATCTATAGCAGTAAGGAGAATTCCCCGAATGATGTAGTATCTGCAACACCATTGTGTTTTGTACTGTTGATAGGATAAACAAATCTGTATACAAAACTTACCCCCAAAAAGGTGTGAAAGAAAAGAGAGAGAGAGAGAGAGAGACTGTCCACAAAAGCTCTAACACAATAATTATGATTGTCACTCAATGACTAAGATGTTTTACTACATTTCCATTTTTATTATACACTGTCAACATAGCACAATAATGGTGGGATAATGTAAATAAGTACACAAACACATGACATGTATCACGTATAAATAATATCATTTTATTGGGGTGAAAACATTTTCCAAACAACAAAGAATAATAAAGTATACAAATATACACTGTCTTGAGAGGTTCTGGTTAAAACTCAAGAGGTGAGTCCAATATTTGCTGAGGGTTGCAGCCCCGAAGCAAATGGTACTATTGGAGTCACCGAGGCCCATAGTTTTAACCATATACCTCGAAAAGAAGGCATGGTATATTTGTTTTATATCCTGCGTCAAAAATTTATTTTGAAGAAGAAAAAAAATACAATTTTTTGAAAATTGTTATCTAAATGTCGAAAATTACAGCTTTTGTTAAAAGAGAATTGAAAATAAAAACAAATAATTAAATTAAGATTTGAAGAAAAAATAAATTCAAAAACAAAAACGACTGCGAAAAAATGTCAACTCCCAAAAAGTACTCCCAAAAAATACTTCTACTCCCAAATAGTATTTTTTTCAGAGCAACCTTAAAATAGTTGAAATATTTTTGGTCATATGACAAGCTCTCAACCAATCAAAAACCAATACATTTTTGATGCAGGATAATGTTTAAATGTTGCCTTCAGAGGGTTAGATGGCAATACTTCAACCTAATTTCGCAAAAAAGCCAAAGTTGAAGTGTATTCGCGATATCTATCCAGGCCGGATCGATATGATAATTTACCAAAATTAATATATCAATTAGTAAGCGGTTTCCCGGCAGAATTTGTATCATCATGTATTAGTCAAAACATTTTCTCTCACATGATTGGTAATAAGAGCTTCCATTTCATTTTTTGAGAGGGGGGCGTTTCCAAAACTGGTTTATACCTTGCGGGTTGGCAATGTGTCTTTGAGCAAATGGGTAACATGCACATCATGTACAGCTACATCTGTAATGGATAAACAACCCTAAAAGTGGGGAATACTGAATGCAGAGTATTGGAGATTGTTCAAGTATTAGTTATACCTCGTCATAACAATTTCAAAGAATGCCCAAACATATCTTTGTCTGAAAAAACATTGAAATTGAACCTGAAATCTCAAATTTCAATTTTAAATTACCTTGGAAAACATGAAAATACTGCTTTAATAAGGTTATATAACATGAAAATGAAATATATGAGTTTTATTCCAACATAGGATTTGTGTTCAGACAAAAGAAAAACACGAAGAAAGTACAAACAGAAGACTTACAAATACTTAGTCACAAAGAACTAGACACAGAACATTGAAATGAAATTAAAAAAACTAAGTAATATATTTGTACAGCCCCCCCCCCCCCCCATGGCCATGTGCTCATAAGGTACAACTATATTGAGAAGATACTAGTTGTAATGGACCATGGGGATTTTTGGTAAGTTTGATAAGAGCAATCATAACTTTTTCGGTAATGGCAAAACATATAATTATATATATTATGTACATACCAATAATATACAAATCTTTTTCATTTGTTATGATACAGTCTGTTGACTACTACCAGTATTCAGTGTGAATGTTTAAGTCACATTTTGTGTCATATCCATTATTGTCTTCTGCTTGCATGTCATCTACTTGCATTGCTTATCATTATATCCAATGTTGATGTACATACATAATACATAATACTTTATATTAAAGCAGAATAAGCAGCTTGCTGTAGCAAAGAATACGCAAATAACTACCGTTGGTGAAGGTGATGGGACTCCGAGGCGATCTGGATGTAGCTATCTTTCCGAAGCGAAGCTAAAGAAAGAAAGCAAGGGTGTCGATTTGTATCCGTGGTTGGGGGGGATGATAGGTGCCAAAATATTTTCGGCAATGGATCAAGCAATCAGGAGGTAGAAGCGTGTTGCAAGTTGCACCCCTCCCAAGCGCGTAGCCAGGATTTCATTTTAGGGGGCGGTAGTGAGCACGCGAAGCGCGGTCCCTAGGGGGTTGCGTGCAGGGAGGGGGAGTCCCCCCCCCCCCGGCGAAGCGCGGAAGCTTTGACGTTTCACTAAATTATAAGGGAAAGAAGACGATTCGTTGGACCGTTCTCGACTCTTAATCCTTGTTTGAATCAAGTTCCCCTTCCTCCGCGCGTAGCGCGGAACCTCTGACGTTTCATCAGATTATTAAATAAAGAAGACGATTCGATGTACCATTCTCGACTCTTAATCCTTAATGTTTGGATCAAATTCCCCCTTCCCCGCGCGTAGCGCGGAAGCTCTGACGTTTCATCAGATGATTAAAGAAAGAAGACGATCCTCTGTACCATTCTCGACTCTTAATCCTTGTCTGAATTCATTTTCGCCCATTCCTGCGCGAAGCGCGGAAGCTTTCACTTTAGTGAAAGAAGACGATTTGTTGTATCGTGTCCTTCATGAACTCGGTTTCCCCCCTACCGCGCGAAGCGCGGAAGCTTTAACGTTTCAATAAATTATTATTCTTAATCCTTGTCTGTATTCATTTTCGCCCATTCCGCGCTTAGCGCGGAAGCTTTCACGTTTCATTAAATTATTCGTAAAAGAAGACGCTTCGTTGTATCGTGTACTTTGACGTTTCATTTGATTATTACGCTTAATCCACGTCTGAATTCAGTTGCCCCCTAACAGCTTTGCCCTTTTCACTGAATTATTAGAGAAAGAAGACGATTCGTTGTACTGTTCTCTATATTAATCCTTGTCTGAATTCAGTTTCCCCACTGAATATAATTTGTGTTACAAATAAGTTGTGACATAATAATCTTTCTCCAAAAATGAAAAATCTTTTAGGAAATATCAGGAAATAAAATGAGTGAAAAAAACAAAAATTAAGATACAATGACGTGAATTTTAAAAAGGGTGAACGGAAACAACATAACAACTAGAGAACTAGTTTATAAGTCATACTAACGTCCGAAAATCTTTCTCCTTGTCTCCGATCTCATCACGAAATCGTTACAGAGTTCATCTATGTTTACACTGTCCAGGATTGTCTGATGTGCATTGCAGATTGCTATTTTTGCGCTTCGCGCCTAACATTTAGCTCGTTGCTTTTTGACGCTGCGTCTTTGCATTTGGCGCACTGCATTTCTATGATGCTATTGATTGAAAAAATTGAATAAATTCATCAATTCCTGATGAAGCCGTATGAGCGAGAATTCAATTTATTCTTGTCTCATATACGGTTGGCTTACTTGCTTCGTATATATGTATGTATTATGAAAATGAGATAGCAAAATGTGTATATTGATGGTCATCTTGCGAGTAATAACCATTAACTACTCTCATCGGGCTCTCATCCTTAATTTTTCTCTTCATTTTTTTTTGTTTTGATGGTGAATTATTGGGGGGGGGGGGTGATTGTACAGGCCATCCCCCCCACCTGAAATATTGGGGGGATATATCCCCCCATCCCCCCCCCCCCCCGGGATCGACACCCATAAAAGAAAGCGTAAACATTCAGATCGCCGAGGATTATTTGCTTTATATTCCACATCGGAAACATTTCACTTCTTCCGTCATTTGAGAGCAACACGTCATCAATTAACAGCTAGCAAACGGCGTACGATACGTACAGTGCATGCAGTATGGTAGTGTGACCATACAGTGATCTCAAATACTGTGAAGATAATCAAACTGATTTCACCTCTCACATAATTAAACGCAGACGTCCCGTCAGTGTACTTTTCTTGTATGATCCTCAGCTCAGACTTGAATATTTTTATCTCAAAAGACAGTGAGACATCTATGATGTAAAATTCACTGCTCTCTCAGTAACAACGGGTGGGGAGGGGGGGGGGGGGGGGGAGAGCTTGTTATTACATCTGGAGAATCACCACCTGATTGATATATTATATTGTTCCTTCTCATGCTTATTTCATTTCTAACGCGCACTTCTTTTTTTCTTTTTCTTTTTTCTTTTTCCTTTCTCTTTCCTTATCTTCTTCTCAACCCCACATGCAGCTCATCTTTTAGTATTATTTTCTGTACCCTCGATCTCTCACTTCTTTTTTTCATTGTCTACTCTTTGTATTATGACCGTGTTCTTCTATCTTTGTCGTGTAAAGTATTGTTTTGTCCCTTTCTCGTCTCTGTTCGCATTCCCCTTTTATTTCCCCTATTTTATAGTTCCTTTTGTAGTTACATATTAGATAATTTAATTACTCATTATTCCTAAGTTTCATTTGAGGTGTCCACACTTGTACAAGCATTGCTTTTTAGTGGACCCCTCTGTTTCCAACATGTATTTCTTAAATTTGTTTTAAATGCTTATAATTGATTTGTAATGTTTTGTTGGAAACATGAATAAATTTGAATTTGAATTTGAATTTGAATATGCTATTAAAAAAAAATTGAATTTCCATGAAAATAGTATTTCCTTTCTTTGCTTAGTTTCCACAGAAAATAAATGGACGTTATTCAATCCTCTATTTGGATTTCAAAGGATAAATTTTAGAAATGGAACAAAATCCTTTGAAGTAACTGAAAAGTTAATTTTGTAACCAAATTTGAAGCAGGAAGCATACCGAGTAGGTTGTATTATACACTCTAAGAAAAAAGGATGCTAAAAAGGGCGCAAAATAAGAGTTTGCAACCTTTACATAAAAATGAACCCTATTGAAGGAAAAGGGGTTAAAAAAAGGGTGCAATGTAAGATTTTGCACCCTTCCCACAAGAATGAACCCTATCGACCAAAAAAAGGTGCAAAATAAAGGTTTGCATATTGCACGCATATTCATGATTACTTTACACGTGTTCTCATAAAAATACATTTATCATGATTTGTTAAGGAAATTATGACAATGCACATCAATTTTGTGATTTGTATTTTCCTTCGGCAATCATTAACTATACCAATTGATTATTTTGTCTGATCTTGTTGCAATACATTCATGTTTTAGCAATAGATATATTGATTATAAATTATGATTACTAACCAAGAAACAACATGCATGTTTAATATGTATTTGTGTACGAACAAATTTCACGAGTATTCCTCGAGCATGGGTACAGGATTGCACCTTTTAAAGGGTGCAGGATTGAACCCCTAAAGGTGCTGCTAATGCATCGGTTTGCACCCCTTATGGAGCAGGATTGAACCATTAAGGGTACTAACATGTCTCCTAAAACTGAAGGTGCAATCTGGCACCCTCTTAAAGGGTGCAGGATTGAACCCATAAAGGTGCTGCTAGTGTTGCATCGGTTTGCACCCCTAAAGGTGCAGGATTGAACCATAAAGGGTACTAACATGTTACATGTCCCCTAAAAGGTTCAATCCGGCACCCTTTTAAAGGGTGCAGGATTGCACCTTTAAAAAGGGTGCAGGATTTAACCCCTAAAGGTGCTGCCAGTGTTGCATTAGTTTGCACCCCTAATGGTGCATAATATACTTGCACCATTTTTTCTTAGTGTGTAATCACTTCATCCTCAAATATCAATATTTCAAAAATCCTGAACAAACCTATCAATACTATCAAAATTAATTATTATTAATAGTGATGGTTCGTAACAAGAGAATACAATACATGTTTGTACCCTAGAAATAAATGAAGTATATTGATATTATTGACTATATAATGTCGCACTGTGCATGTATTTCAAATAATTGATAAATCAAACATGAAGGAAAAAATGATTACTTTTACATTTGTTAGCATATAAATGAGAAAACTACATTCGTAATTATATTAGAACACAAATTGCAGCAAATACTCTGCATAACAAATCTCATAAGCATTGAGTACATTGCAATGTCAGATACACTTCGTTAAAATTGATCAACCCAGCATCCCACTTTTTTTTTTTAGCGGTTAGAGACTTCGGTGGTAACCGCTTTATAAGTAACATTTTTATTATTATATATTATTATTTACACTATGCATGTCATAAAAGAAACACCCCAATATGATAAGCACGCGTCCAGTTTGAATTCATTTTCATCTTGTCAGAGCAATTTCTATACAAATTCTCTTTCAGATCAATGTGATTCTGATAAGAAGAATATGTCTACATAGCAATAAACAATCGGAAATAAAAAACACATTAATAATAATAATAATAATAATACATATGATTTATAAGGCGCCAAATCCACTTGACAGTCAAATGCTCAAGGCGCAGCTTGTGCAAAAGATGAAATACATACATGATACATTTATACAAAGTGCAATAAGAAAGGTACAGACATGAAAGGTAATGGTAATCAATTATAAGCTAAATTAAACAGATATTTCTTAAGACTTCAGAGATCCAGCAATTTTTTGAGAACTATCAACTTCCCATCCGGAAAGATAACAGTATTCATCCACTTCCTTAACCATTATTTACATTTTTACACTTTTTCTCTTTCCCACCACCATCCATATAGCTTTATACAGTCATGATGACCTTTGGCGTGTCAGAAGACATATTTGCCAACGACGAAACCCATGAAGAAGGTTGCCAGGATGATCATGGTGGTAGGTAGCATGTGTTGTTCTCCCTCAAATCTTCGCTGCCTCACGCCCTCTGTCTAAGGTCAAACAGAAAAATCATTAAAAAACACTTTACACACCGTATTTTAAAATGGATATACATTTTGGGGGATACATGCTTTATGCAATGCAACTGCGTTTCATGACAAAAATACCAAAGGAAATAAACCTCCCATAATGTAGACTAAACCATTTACTTGAATGATAAATATTCCTACAGTAAAATAAAGCTTGGTTGGTAACGCAGGATAAACATTACCTTTGAATATATAATTGCATATCAAAGAAACGGACAAAGCCACTTTATTGAGATGAGAAAGAGCATTTCCAGTCTAAATATAATCTTAAACGTTCCTCACCCTTAGTTGTGTGTTTTCTGCTCGTAAGCTGCCAACCTCTCTCCTGAGTCGCTTGCATTCCTTGACCACTGTATCTAAATCCCTTGTTGATACCTTTTCTTGTGAGGCAGGTGCAGGAGCTTGCTGGTTGGCTGGCCATCCAAAAACACACTTTAGTTCGTTGTCCATTATAGCAGAAGTATTTGATGCTTTCCACTACAAAGAAAAAAAAACCCAGTTACAACAAATTACATATCTTGATGTCTTAAATGAAATTATTCACATGAAGAATCTAGGGTCTTATATCAAGAACAATCACCTTTGAGTCATAGCAATATGAAATATGTTATACTATATGCTCATTTGGGCTTGCTCTTTTGTGCTACTACGTTTTGCAATGAAGTGACTTGAAATGAAAATTGATATTTTCCCCAAATGTTTGAATAAATTCATCTTACTATTGCAGTTATAATTCTCTCTATATACAGTTTTCTTAATCTTTCAGAAATTCAATTTGTCAAGAGGTCATACAATTTCTAATCAAGGCAATAAATCAAGTGTATCAAGCCCAACAGATATCAAGATCTATTTGTTAATCCTTTGTCATCCTCAACAGAATTTTTGTTCATAGCTAGACTGGGGTGAAAAACCTTTCCATAATTTTGTTCTTCTGCAAAATACAATTATTTCTTGTGTATGAACTGTTTATATCATTGGATACTTACAGAAGTATATATAATTGCTGCTGACATGAATTCATTCAATGCACTACTAGCAGTCTCCATCTGAATGCGTATAAACAGTAAAATGAGTGAATAATTAAATGTTTCATTGGAATGAATCACATTGATCATGCATATAAGTATCACATTATGTCTATAATGAATTTATAGTGCATGTTCTTTATTTGGTGCATAATTTTAATGCATACAAACGTCACAATATATATATATGTCAAAGGTTTCCAAACTCAGATATTGACAAAAATGATAAAAGCAATATAACCTGTTGAGTAGTAGGTCTAAAATAACTTTGATTACACCTTGATTGGAAACGGATTTCAAGTGTAAATGTAATTGTTTCCAACAAAATAATTTACCACAAAAAAAAACCCTAGATGGATCTTCAACTGCGCGCAGTCGAAAATAATGCCTCCGCCATAGAGCGATTTTATAAACTAATTAAAGAAGCAATTTTAAAAATGCATTTTTTTATAATTGTAATCCATTTACAGGTTCTCAGAATATCGTGACTACAAGCTATTTTTCATAAATTATACATTATGGCTCTGCACAAAACAAACATGTCCTGAGTTTGATAGTAATCCATCTGTCGGTTCTAATGATAATGTGTTCACAAGCTATTTGTGCATAATTATGAGCCCCGTGACCTTTGACCTCATGACCCTAAAATCTAATCAATTCATTCGCTCTGCAAGATATACATGTCTTGAGTTTGATGGTAATCTGTCTATCGGTCTAATGATAATGCGATCACAAGCTATTTTTGCATACATAATGATCCCATCACTTTTGACCGTTGACATATACCCCAAAATCCATGAACCGAGTTTGGCGGGAATCCATCAATCGGTTCTTGAGTTAACGCAATCACGGGCTATTGTTGCATTTTTAACGAGCCCTGTGACCTTTGACTTCGTGACCCCCCAAATATAATAAGTTCATTGGCTCTGCAAGATACATGATACATGGCCCAAGTTTGGCGGGAATCCATCAATCGTTTCTTGAGATAACGCGATTGCGAGAACGGGACGTACTAGTACCGCATACGGTCGTACGGACGGATGGACAACCCGAAAACATAATGCATCCGGATACTTCGTTGCGGGGGCATAACAATTAAATATAAATAATATTTCTGTGTTTGGATAAACACGATTTTCAGTAACAACAAGTTCCGAATTGGATGATAAGTATTGTATCCCCCTATGGATAATAAAACACCACTTTGGAAATGAAACATTCTACTTTTTAAAAAGCAGACAAGGGCCTTAAAAAGCCACCAAGCGATACCTCACCGTGTCAAACGATTGTACATCTCCTCTGAGCTTGGCGAATCTAGTAAAGTCTGTAAGCCTGTTGTCTAAAAATGTCCAGGTTTCTTCAAAATCTGGAGACTTATCCTGAATGAAGCACAGTTCTGAACTCTTATACACCGCTGCTAGGGATATTCGCTTGGTGTACCAGTTGAACTAAAATCAAAAATCAAAAATATTAATGATTAATATAAAAATTATAATTATGAATAACAGTATAAGAGGTAGTTTTGTTTGCTGTTACACTCTATCCCCTAACCATGACTCATTAGCTCCTATAGTCTATATGTTTATGCATCATCCCCAAAAAGACTATGGCATTATTATGTGATAGTTTTTATTATATTCCACATTACTAAGAATCTTGCTCTACGATTGGTCAAAAGTAAATCACGAGATAAAAGATAGTTCGCCCATCATTGATTGGAGAAGAAAAGATCGTTACACTGTGTAGATAGCACTATCTACACAGTGCAACTCACTTTCACTGAAGATAGTAGTACTATTTATACAGTGCAACGCACTTTAACTGAAGATTTGTATACGTTGCGTATACGTATAAGTTCTTGAATGTATAAGTACTGCATGCACTGTACGTATTGTACACCGTTTGCTAGCTGTTATTGATGACTTGTTGCTCTTAATTGACGGAAGAGGTGAAATGTTTCCGATGTGGAATATAAAGCAAATAATCACTTTTTGGTTTCAGGCGATGGCAAACTATCACTTCCTCGGCGATCTGAAAGTAGCTATCTTTCCTCAGCTTCGCTTCGGAAAGATAGCTACTTTCAGATCGCCTCGTAAGTGATAGTTTGTCCCATCACCTTCACCAACGGTACTTATTTGATTATTATCACTGCGACTCTGCTTTGGATATGCAACCTATTTTGTCATATGACCTCATTTAGACCAATTGTGTTGCAAGAATCTTGGTACGTGGGGTATAGAGTGTTTTATCATCAGCAGGAGAGAAAGGTCATGAGTTTACATTAATTCCTCTCTTGGTACAGCACTATGTAAACTACATATTCTACTAAGAATGCAGGCTACATAATTAAATTATCAAAATAGAAAACTAGAGATCAACAGATAGGAAGCAAAGGGAGCAAAGTGAAAAGAAATCAAAAAGATATTAATGAAGAGGAAATAGTTACTTTAAAAAAGTAAATAACTAAATAACTTGATATAAATAAATGTGCAATTTACATGTGCTGATTTATCTCCAGCATGGTACCAGATAGTGTCCATAAGGTTTGCTAGATTGTTGAAGTGTTCTGCTACATTCTCAGGTCTAGCGGTAAGAACCATAGCTTCAGGCCACTGTGCATGATAGGGGATGATCATTCTTAGACGAGTCTGTAAGGCATCACGGATAACAGCACATGTTTTCTTCCTGTGGTAAATCGAGTCAATTGAGATCACATTAGTTTTATATGCCTACTTGAATATAATGATTTTATAATATATTATGTTCTGTTTCCATTCTCATTCTCGTATTTCTACTACGATGCAAAAGCTAAATATATAAAAAAAGACAAAGAAATATGCCCCTTGTTCTTACAAGTATCTTGTTATGAGTTTTAATTGAATACATATCCTTGAAGAAAAAAAAGTAAACATAACAACCCCAAACCTACGTTTAAAAAAAATGATCAAACAGGCCAATGTGATTGATAAAACGAATTCTTAGCAAGAATTGATTGCCTGTTTTAGGGGGTTGTTTTTCTAGACTTTTAGAGCAAAGTGGATTAGACATTATGAGTTAAAGATGAATCCAGGGAGAAAACAACTTACCTCTCTCCTTCCTCCACTTCTTTGCTGGTATCCAAAGCCAGTTGCTCAGCCAACTGTGAGTTACACTCCTTCACAAAGTGATGCATAAGATCACCCCCACCTCTAGGGAACATCCCATGGGCTACTCCAGGGTAGCCTTCATGCTTAGCAGCCTCAGAGAGGGACTGGACTGTCCAGCCATGGATAGGTACAAACTCTAGAGCAGTGTTGAGTACAATCTTCTGAATGTCCTCTACACTAGGTTCCTCTTTGTCACTGTCTCCTTGTCTGTATCTCTTTGAGGTAGAAAACCACCTACAATAATTCTGTCCTGTTTGACGGGGGGAAAAAAGGGGGAGATTTCAAAACTTTTAATTTGGTGATGTAATGAACTGAATGTAAAATATACCAATGAATTAATAAATATATAAATTACAAAGAAATAATTAGATAAGCAAACAAAACAAACAAATCTTTGTTTTCATCAATCTACCTGTCTGACCTACTCTCACGGGGTTAGTTGTTCTAAGGGGTAGTTTACTGGGGGTATTTCTCCGAGAGGTAGTTGTCCCAGGGGGTAGTCGTCCTAGAAGGTGGTTTCCGTAGGGGGTAGTTGTCCTAGGGAGTAGTTGACGTCGGGGGTAGTTGTCCGGGGGTTATAGTTATCCCGGAGGGAAGTCGGCCTAGAGGGTGGTTGCCCTATGGGGTGGATGTCAGTGGCGGATCCAGGGGGGGGGGGGGGGGGGGGGGGGGGGGGGGCCACCCCTCCCCCCTGGCAAAAAAGAAGATTTTGTTTTGTTTTGGTGTGTGTGCTAAAGAAAGCAACAAACAAAAACGTGTTCCTCCCCCCCCCCCCTCCTAAGCCACTGAACAAAATATCTGACGTCATTTTCTAATTTCCGGGACAATTTTTTTTTTTTTTTAAATCGCTCATCTGACCGTGATTATATGCCTTAAAACCCCTGAGCTTCCGTGGGCTCTGCCCCCTGGATTTCACCTAGGGCCCAAAGCCAGGCACCTGGATGCTCATCTGACAGTAATTAAATGCCTAAAACCCCTTTACTTCCGGTGGCTCTGCCCCCTGGACCCCACCCAGGGCCATAAGGCGGACGACTGGATGCTAATCTGACGGTAATTTGATGCTTAAAACCCTTGAGCTTCTGGGTTCTCGGCCCCCTGGACCTCACGCCAATTAGTGTCCAGCCAGTGTCACAAATAAGGTATAAAATTAGGCTCATCTGACGATAATTTGATGTATAAAAACCTTGAGCTTCTGAGGGCACCGCCTCCTGGAGTGGGGTCCAGGGGGCGAAGCCCCCAGAAGCTCGGGGTTTGGGACAATAAATTACGGTCAGATGAGCATATTTTGATACCTTATTTGTGACACTGGCAGGATACATATTGGTGTTGGGTCCAGGGTGCGGAGCCCCCAGAAGCTCAGGGTTTTTATGCATTAAATTATCGTCAGATGAGCATATTTTATACCTTATTTGCGACACTGGCAGTTCATGAATTTGCGTGGGGTCCAGGGGGCGGAGCCCCTGGAGGCTTAGGGGTTTGAGGCAAAAAATTACGGTCAGATGAGCATATTTTTATACCTTATTAATTTTTTTTGTGACACTGGCAGGACACAAATTGGTGTTGGGTCCAGGGAGCGGAGCCCTCAAAAGCTCAGGGTTTTTATACATCAAATTATCATCAGATGAGCATAGTTATATACTTTGTTTGTGACACTGACAGGTCACGAATTGTCGTGGGGTTTAGGGTCGGAGCCACCAGAAGCTCAGGGGGTATAGGTATTTAATCACTGTTAGATGAGCATATTTTATACCTTATTAGTGACACTGGCAGACCATGAATTGGCATGGGGTCCAGGGGTGGAGCCCCCGAAAGCTCAGGGGTTTTGGGCAATAAATTACGGTCAGATGAGCATTTTTTATACCTTATTTTGTGACACTGGCAGGTCACGAATTGGCGTGGGGTTCAGGGAGCGGAGGCTCAGGGGGAGTTAAGCAATAGATAACGGTCAGATGAGCATCCAGGGGCCCGCCTTATGGTCATTGGTTGGGTTCGGGGGGCAGAGCCCCAGAAGCTCAGGGCTTTAGGCATTTAATTACGTCAGATGAGCATAATTATACCTTATATTTGTGACACTGGCAGGTCACTAATTGGCGTGGGGTCCAGAGGGCGGAGCCCCCTGAAGGTCAGGGGTTTTAGGCATCTTATAACAGTAATACAAGCATGCAGGGACCCGCCTTAGGGCCTCTGGTAGGGTCGAGGGGCTGGACCCCCGGCGGGTTTTAGGCATTTAATTACGGTCAGATGAGCATATTTTGATACCTTATTTGTGGCACTAGTAGGTCACTAATTGGTTTGGGGTGTTTCTCCTTTTTTTTCCTTCCTTTTTTCCTTCTTTTTTTCCTTCTTTTTTTCCCGTCCTTTTTTTTCCAGAGGGGAGGGGGTGGGGCCTAGATCCGCCACTGATAGTATAAACCGCTCCCGTATACCCTTCCTGTTGTTTTGAAACATCTGTATAGATTCTTAAACAGTGATTCTATTTTTCTAATGACTTCTAAAGAATATAATTGATAAAGAAAATCTTTTATTTCTGTAGATACACATGGCATCTTATAGTGGCAATAAGATTTAATCATCATGCATTCAGTGAGTTTGTCATTATTCCCATGCAATCTCTAAGTTCTGCGATCTTTTGACAAAAGGACCTTGGCCCATTTTCCAAGCGTATCTTTAATATTGCCAACACGTTAAAAAGACTTTTTTTTGTAAGATGGTTACTTTTAACTGCATGCAAGAGCGGCGATTTCTTTTCATGACCGGGGGGACGTTATGCGAGGGACGAGGGAGCATAGTGAACGAGAGGGGCGAAGGTGACGGAAGGGGGGGGGGGTTCTCATATTTGGTTTGGACGAGGGTGTGCCGCTCAAGCCTTGAAATCATCACCCTATTTAAGGGCCATTTGGGGGGATTTTTCTCAAAAAAGTGCCCATTTTTCACAATTTTCTGGGTGTCATCCGAACATTTTGGAAGTTTAGAAAAAAACGAACCAATGTTTAGGGATATTTTGTTAATTTTTGTTGTGTGAAAAATTGGCCCATTAGAGCGGCACACCCCCGTATGTATTAATATGTGAGTACCCCCCCCCCCGGCCCCTAACAGGTTTTTGAAGTTTTGTGGTATTCAGAAATTTCATTCCTTAGCAAAACTATAGCATAAAAACAAGAAATATGCTTTTTCACGCTTCACTTTTACTTCGCCTGTAATTAGTATACAGTCCGAAGGGTTGTAAATGTTAAGTAGGTAAATGTTAGTAAGTAGGGAGCTTGGGCATACATAAAGTTATAACTGTGCTTACGTGATACCAACGGAATACAGTTTTTCTACAATATTTACTTGTATATTTTGAAGCATATTATGTGAGGGAGCGTAGCGACCGAGCGAGAAGATTTGCGCATGTTTATTAGTCTAAACGCTGCAATATTAGGCCCCTTTGCAGTATTTGCTATACATTTTTTGTTTGCACCTTCAAAATTTCCAGGGGCGGGGGGGGGGGGGTGGGAGTTCGTGCAATGGCATTTCCCCGCTTTCAACTTGTAAAGCCTTGTAAAGAACTCCACTAGTAAATGTATATAGGCCTGGAATTGTATGGTGTCTAATTTTTTTCAAAAAGATCGGATTAAGCCTTTATAAACATAGTGAAGTATTTCCGAGTTATAACCCCATTTGGTACCAGCAATACACCTCATAAGATGTCTTTTTTGCATCTTATTTAAATTTCAATTAATATGTGTACTCCACGTCAATCTCAAGTCGAACCATACTCCAAAGAAATTGTATTCCTTTTCCAATTGAATGATTTTGCTATATATTTGTTAATCGATATTTTTCTTTTCTTTTCTGCCGAATGCTACGGCTCTTGATTTTGAATATGAAAGATGCATACCCCATGTATCACACTATTTTTCAATTAAGCCTAGAGCCGCTTGTAACTTTTTTGGGTATAATTTCGGTGAAAAAAAAACATAATTATGTCGTCAGCATACAATGATATTTAAACAGTATCCTGAATTCGTCCAAGACCATTGATCATGAAATCGAAAATTAATGGGCTTATCACGCTTCATTGTGGAATGCCTATATTACATTTATTTCTGTTCTGATAATAGTTTCACACTCTCAACACGATTAATGCATGAATCCATTTTAAACTATGCCTTGTCTCCATACTACGTCGTACGCCTTCTATAGGTCAAGAAATATCACAACTGTATATTCTTTATTAGCCATTAATTTTTGAATATCTGTTTCCTAATTTGATTAAATGGTCGGTTTTACACCTATATCTTCATGAATCCCGATTGGAAAGGGGTAATAATATTCCCTCTTTCAATATGTACCACGAGAGTCTGTTTTTCACAAGTCTCTCTATTAGTTTGCACAGTGTTGGGATGAGAGACAGATATTGTGCGGTATTAAAGACGACAGGTTTGAGGTATCTTCTCCTTTGTTTTATTATCAGAGTTTGAATAGCCTCGACCAGTCCATTGGGTTTACAGTGCTAAAAATAGGGAAAAGACATTTTGGCTAATTCGCTACAATACTATCGGCAAGATTGACGGTATAGACTCACCATTACATCGGTAAGTTGAAAAGGTTGTAATTTACTGCTATTATGTGTCATCAATTATTGTCACAGGACCAGCCCCGTTGAATTCACTTCCACATTATGAGCTGATCAGAAATCCGACTCTTTAACGTCTTTTAAGAGCAACCTTAAATCCCATTTGTTCAATTTCGCGTTTTGAAGACAGACATTCATTCATTCTTTCATTTTTGCATTTTTTTCTTATGTAAATGTACACGATTCTTTGTCATGATGTAATGTGTTCCCTAAATATTTTGAAGCGCCTTGAGCATTTAATTATAAATATAAATCTCATATATTATTATTATTATTACTAAAGTACCGATTTTAAGTGAATTGAGTTTGGGCAGTGGTGTTTGAAATGTTGAGAATCAATAGAGGTTGTCTGAACAGTTTTTAATACACACAAAGTATACTAAATGCTGATATGTGTGGGTAGAACGTGAACAAAACCCAAACATTTTGATTCAAGTAGATCTGAATAGAATACTTAAATTTTTTCTCAAAATATTTATGACGAAAACTTACCTAATAAGTTCCGAGCAAATTTAAACTCCTGTAAGATCGTCATTTTCTGTAATTTGGTTATATTCCCTTGCTAGCAATTTCCGTCGAGTCTCTTCCCTCTGGGGGGTTTCATGATACCAACTCCATGGCATGACAGTCATATCTTTTTCGGCGACCAGATCAGGAAGAGGAAAAACCACAAAACCATGAACAGCGACAAATATCATTTGTCTGCGGTGCGATTGTATAGCAGGCAAATGTTTTTGTATTATTAATGATCGAATGCAATACTCATGTTGGGTCCGGGTTGTAGCCCTGGTGGAATGTTATTTGTATAGGCGGCTCGCAGGTACTTTGAAACGTACGTGCTCCTTTTCTTTTCTAATAAGTGTGTTATTCCTTTCGATATCCTTTCATCTCATTATTAAACGTGCCCCTAATTTAAAGGGACTAAGAGCATTATTATTTCCCCCAAAGCTCGCTCGCATTTAGATGATTACTATGTTACTATCAAAGGTCTGTTCAGTTGTCCGTTATGAATGTGCTTATAACCACATCGGGATTGGGTTTTTTCCTTATAAGATGTAGTTTTTAAGACCTCTTAAATGTTTTCCTCGCTCACCTCGCTCGTTCGCAAATGAATATTCAGACCAACACACCCAACTGTATGCAAAGTATGATGCTTAAGCAATATCATATGATGTATAAAGAGAAACAAATATTGAAATCATGCCTGATAATGTAATCACAATGTGGGGGTATATAACAATGTCTTAGAAAATGTATATATTTTCGCTTTGAGGTTTCCCTTTTTAGTTGCCCCCTTTTCCCGGAAAGCGCCCTTTAACGTTGGTGCTCCCCCTACTATGAATGACGCTCCGCCGCCCCTGGCCTGCTAAAAGACCCGAGCTTTCGGGGGCTCCGCTCATACGCTCTACCTGATCGTAAATATTTTAGCCCCACCTGCCAACTTTAAAAACATTTCCCGGGGCCTGGTGTGAGGGGGGCTGAAGCCCGACACCAGTCTGCTCATCCCAACTGCCGTACTAGTCTTACGACTGGTTTTGACAATCAAGTGATACCTGAGGTCAGTGGCGGATCCAGGGGGGGGGGGAGTCCCGCCCCCCTCTTGAGAACAAAAATCATGTAAAAACACGTGATTTTTACCTTTTTGGGGGGGTTGGCCCCCCCCCTTGAGCGCAACCCCCAAATTTTTTTCGAGGACCTAAGAAATCCTGGATCCGCGCCTGCCTGAGGTACTAGGAAACTGTACCGTGTCAATTATGGTTGTCAACATTGTTGCAATTGAAGATCTTGTTTAGAAATGAAATACAAGTGGATAAACGTTACACTCCTTGGACTCTTGATCTTGTTGAGGGAATTATTATGACTGTGTTTATTAAACACTTAATTACACGTTACACCTCTAGGTACTGGTGTCATGAGTGTCTATACTTTTTGTTACACCGGCGAACTATATCCATGTGGACTGCACACATAGTCCCACCTCTTGTGTTTACATTTATCTCCTCCTAGAAATCCTAGTGGAAGAGGGGCGTTAGCTCGAATTTCAGGTAAAAAATGAAACGTTAAGCAGAAGGGCGTTAGCACTAAATCGCCTCAAACTTGTATAAACCTGACTTATTTCCGAAAAAATTGTGGCCGTGTTCTACTATAACATTTCTGATTAGTCTTCAAAGTTTTAAACCAATTTTCGGGACGGAAAGCAGTTTAAATATAAAACAAATCTTTGAATGTGAATTATTCGAAAAGTAGTTTTCGAGTCGCTAGCGCGCTAACGCCCTACTGCCAGCCAGCCGACGTAATTATGCTGGGATTTAAAAAAAAAAAAATATCCTGGCAAAAAGTACTCCAAATCGCACGAATAGAGTTTGAAAATTCGATTTTTCTTCAACTTCTGACTTCACCCTGTCCGCACAATTCAAAGCGCGGAACGCGGCGCTAAATATATCCTGGTGGATACTAGGTCAAATTTAATCATAGGCAGGGATCACTGAAATATTTGGCTTGAATTTAATCATTGCTTGGGGGCATTTGGAATGAAGGAAAAAAAGGTGTTTGAAAATCCCGGGCCAGGAAAAATTGCATGGAACCAAGAAGGTAATTTTCTTTTTATGACATTCCAGTAACTTATTTTTTTAATTGAATCCCCCAATTTTCAAGGATTTAAAACTTTTTTTTCCCCTGTATGTGTGTATATATAGTAGGCTTTAAAGGAATCCCTCCTTTCTGCCTATCCAAGATGCTCTCATAAATTGTCATTGTAATTTGTATCACCATCTTGTTCTTATCATTCCATTCTGTATTCGTATGTTTTGAATGTTTTTTGAAGAGTGTGGAATCAATCAATGAATAATAACAAGGAAATTGAATACCGAGTGGCAAAATGGGGTTTTGACTTTTAAGAAAGTATCCGTGTCATTATGCTGCATTAATTCATTTATTTAGTTATGATTTTTTTAAAATTCTTCTCTCCTTCTTTAAAACTCGATTCTACTGTAAATTGATTTTAAACAAAAATCAACACAGAAAGAAATAGAAACAATTTTTTCAGATAGTAGTGTTGGCCTGAAATAACAATCCAATCCTAGTAATAGATTGGATTAAGGTAAAAGGTAAAATCAAAGGTTAAATACTGTGATACAAAATAAGAAGGTTACGCTTGTACTGAGATCACTCAAACTGGTACATTAATTGGTCATTTGACTGAAAAATAAGTATGATCAGCTGCCCCATTTCTTCTACACAGTATACATCATGACTTTCTATCTCATTGCCAAGCACCTTTTCCCTCAAGCCTGTACTATTTGTGGCATATTTTGTCAAAGAACCTCCAGAAATAATGGGATTATGTTCCCTATCCGAATTACCCAAAATGGGATGCTAATAATAATAATATATTACATGTATATAGCGCTTAATACAAAGTTTATAACCGCTAAACAAAAATAAAATACAAAGTAATGTTAACCTACAAATTACAACAAATGTATTGCCGGTTTGAAAATTCCATGGTTTGTGATTTTAATTTTAAAAAATAATTTACAAAAAAAAATGTATGCAATTTTGTTCAAAATTTCACAATTTGCTTTTGTTTTCCTTCAAAGAAACTTGCTATAAAGGTTGAACTTTGATGTTATAGTACAGCCAGCGAAACATGTATCTGATTTTTTAAATTTTGAAATATATTCTAAGATAATATTTTGAGACAAAAATTTAGTTTCATGCATAATTGCGTTTCATATAATTTGTATTAGAAATAACAAACAGCACAGAGACTGAATCATACTAGTATTATAGCAGGAAGGGGAATTCCCTGAAGGACGTAGTATCTGCAACACAACAGAGACATTAAATGTCCATTGTGTGTAGCACTATGAATAGGATAAACAAATCTGTATACAAAACTAACCAAAGTACAGGTGTGAAAGAAAGAGAGAGAGAGAGAGAGAGAGAGAGAGAGAGAGGGAGAGAGAGAGAGGGAGAGGGGGGAGAGAGAGGAGGGAGAGAGAGAGAGAGAGAGAGGGGGTGGGAGAGAGAGAGGGGGAGAGGGAGAGAGAGAGAGAGAGGGGACGGGGGAAGGGAGAGAGAGAGAGAGAGAGAGAGAGAGAGAGAGTACACAAAAACTATAACACAAAATGATTGTCACTCAATGGCTAAGAAATATTTCACTACATTTCCATTTTTATTATTCACCGTCATCACAGCACAATACTGGTGGGATAGTGAAACAAAGTTCGCAAACAAAACTGTATAATGTATACAATAATTTCATTGTATCGGGGTGAAAACATTTTCCAAACCACAAAGAATAATATAATAACGAATACTTGCTTTGTTACACAGACAATAGACAATGCCACTTCAGCAATTATACTAAATATCAAGCTATATTTAGATTTGCAAAAATATATCAAACTGTTAGTTTTCCAGGCAATTGGAAGTATTTATATTGAAAGAGATATTGAATCAGAAAAATAATCATAACAAAAAAGAATTATAAAAACTCTGAACCTTCATCACACAATGCCAAATATATTTCTACAAAGCTCAAAAATAAACTTTGTATCTATACTTACAAGCTAAAATCACATCAGCTGCCCATCAACTGATTTTTTTCTTCTTCATTTGAAGTTTAAAATCTTTAAATCGATATCAATAAGAGAATCAAAATCAAAAGCCTGCATTCTCTGACTGCAAATACAACCAGTCAAAAATAAACACTCTAATCTATGTGTAAAAAAAAAATCAATCTAAAATCACATTAAAAACTATGCTAAGAACTGTGGTTAAAAATTCAAACGTGGTACAACAAAGAAGCCCCTCCCCCTAAAAAATAATAAAAAATGAAATAAAAATATATAATAATAATAAAAATGAAGTTATTAAATAAAATAAATATGATAAATAGTAGGTAAAAGGCAAACTTCCCAAAAGAAATATGAAAATCAAAGTACAGTTAAATAGGGTTTCAAAGTCTAACCAAATATGGACGGGAGGAAATATGCAAATAAAACTAATACACTGTACCATGGAAATGTAAATACTTTCTTGAATGTAATATATTTTTCAACAAAAATTGAAGATTTTTTAAAAACAAACTGGGATGACATTAATCTTGTATCAATCATTTCCCAATCCAGTCCTATCATTTACTGTGCAGTATATATATCACATCCAAATCAATTAAAATATATATGAACAACAACATTCATGAAACTTATTTCTCATCCACATGAAAACACAGCTTTCAGTTATAACTAGGGCATGCTGATCATACAAACAAGCTTTTATGTAATGACTAAAATACAAATGGTTACATTTTACAAGTACTGCTCAAAGCCTCAAAGCTGCTTATTTTTTCATCAAGGCATAAAAACTTGTCTATGGCAGGGCTCCACACAAACTTTTTTGAAAAGGGGACAGTCAACATTTTACAGTTGTATGCATCAGCCTTATATCAAAGTATTTCAAAATGTTTGAGGTCCAGACTTGGCTTTTGATCACCCACCCATGTATCCTGAGTGCCTTTTAGTGTCGAGCCCAGTCTATGATTATTCAATTTTGAATGGAAGTCATCATCAAAGACTCCTTAAATAAAATAAAATATAATATACAAAATGGATGACAAATGCAGCCCATGTTTCTGAAATGGGACTTTGTACATGCCAAAGAATATTTCGTAAAACTAACATCTTTGTAACAAATGGAAGCTACATACAGAGCTTGAGAGGGTATCTAGGAAAGAGTTTGTCAAAATCTTATTCATCCTAAAATATATCCATTATGGTATATAAATATGTGGGTCTAGTAATTGTGTATTACAAATACAATATGACAGTTTTTTAAATTGAATTTTTTAAAGAAAGTGGAAAGAACCCTCCAATATAAGTCACCTGGTTGCAAAGATTATATTCAGAGCTTGACACTAACTGGGATCTAGTACATGATAGGGCCCCCACAATTTTGTTTTGTACTAAACTGTACAGGAGCACATCATCACTACCGCATAGCTTTACACAATAACAAAAGATGGTTCTCTCTTGTGAATAACAGATAATGATGGACACGACACACACAACAGTATAGGAATGAATACAGTCAGTTGTCTTATAAGATTTCCCCAAGTGTTTTCTTACAAATACGCATTTCTCTATCGATACTTTTCTAGGCTATGGCGTACCCATACATGCTTGTCTTATATAAGTACAAGGATTAAAAGTTCTCAAATTCTACAAGCATTTTAAATCTGAATACCTTGACCAATACCAAGTTAAACTAGTGACACAAGTATGGATTTGTATTATTACACCAGAGAAAGAATAATGGAATACATTAGTAACTAAAAACAGAGAAAGTCAGGAAACTTTAAATATTTGTGGTAAACAGGACAACATTTTGGCTGCACTAGTATTATGCAACCTCTCTGACGAGAGAACCAGTTTGCATTTCGAATTTCGGACAATAAACTTTTCATACATTGGCAATAATGCATTAAAATAGCCTTTAATTTGTTTCTTCTTCAGTTGATGGTAATAAGTAGATATGAACCAAAATATATTCATGTGTATTCATATTTGTATGCATGAGGGTATATATGTACTCTTACAAGTAGGGAAAGTTTAGACTGGTTCGGATATGATGCAGCAAAACCACAGCGTTATTTTAATAATGCAATAAAGCGTAATACGTCACTTTACATTTCTATATCTTGTAAGTTACTCAGTGAATATCCGCAGTCACCATTCATTCTACATGTTTGAAAAAACATGGCTGTTTTCTGCAGCAGTTTTCTGCAATATATCTGAACAAGCCTTAATGCCTCAGTCACACCTTTGCGTATTTGGCTTGCGTATTGTTGCATTTTTATGGCAAGCCGTTTTAGCATTTATTCCTATTTCTTGATATCAAGAAATCAAATTCTTGGTATCAAGAGTCCAATTCTTGATGTCAAGAATTACCATTGCTTTACAACAGAAAATCATTTCTTTATATCAAGAAATAGGAATAAATGTTCAAACGGCTTGCCATAAAAAAGCAGCAATACGCAAGCCAAATACGCAAAGGTGTGACGGAGGCATAAGGGTTGATAATGTGTACCCTACACATACATGGATTTCTCACTGTAGAGAAATCAATGAGCATGGACCTATTGCGTCCATCCAGGTTTCTTAGGAATGCCCAAATATATCATTGGTTTGTTGTGTGACTCGGATAAACGTTGTACGGCGACTGAGTTCCTTCAGCTTACTCGCTCCGACATATGTACAAGCAGAGCGCAAACCTCCCAAGATATCCAAGATAGTGCAGTTTACATCTCCCTTGTATGGAACCTCAACAGTCTTCCCTTCACTAGCTCTGTAACAGACAAGTTCGCAATAAATATAGGAAATGGTCAAATTATACAATTTGGTACTTGGTTACAGGTTTATTCAATAGATCTTCAATAAAAGTGGATGCTTCGTTTATGATTTCATAATTGCTATCTTGACATCACTCGACAAGAAAGATAATTAGTTTAACTCCATATGAAATATCTGATAATTAAAGGAAAAAAATGCTTTATACAGCAACTCCACCAAGAGTTTGTTTAGTAAGTGTTACAACCACATGCTCACTTACACAAGTGTTTCAACAGCATGGTATCTTGACACTATGTGGCATTATCAACAAATCAGACTACAGCTACAGCTTCATTATTGTCGTCATAATCCAATTATATTCATTATCATTTGAAGTATACAAGTTTTTATCGTTGATAAAACACAATCCCTTAAACTTCTACAATGACGTTGTAAATGTGTGTTGTTGGTTTTTACAGCTACGGAATTCTCTAATTTCTACCACCCTGTTCCTGTAGGAAATGGCTCATGGTTCATTGCTCCGAGACATACCTGTAGTTAGCCACTCCTCCGACATGTTTATTCATAGCCGTAGCAGAGCTCATCCCATAGAAGAGTTTCATCCTCTTGCCGTTGCGTTCAATCACTTCACCTTCTGTCTGGTCATGACCTGAGAACATTCCTCCAAGCATCACAAAGTCTGATCCAGCACCTGAGAGGTTAGAGTAAGAATGAGAAGTGTACAAACAAATATACAGTCAACCCTGCTTAAGTGACCACTTGTCTACAAAGACAGGGGTGATAGTGACAACCACCCACCCCTTGAGTAAAAAAAAAAGTTTCTGGAAAAAATGTCATCAAACAAAATTCCCCCCTTTTGAGTAAGAAAATAGGGGTAAAATCGGTAAAGATAAAAAAAATAAAAAAGATGTTGTATTGCCCTTTAGGTGCCAAAACATGGGTCGGTCGGTCAGAATTTTTTTACTTCTTCTTCTCCATCTTTTGGCTGATATTTCTCAGTTTTGAATGCTTTGATACTTTTTTCTCTAAAAAACGAAAAAAAAAACTTTTTTAAAGAGCCGACCATAGATTTCAAGATTTTGGGGTCGGTCGCAAAGGGCAATACAACATCTTTCTTTCTTTATTTTTTCCCCTTTAAAATGTTTCTTCATTGAAACATGTACCGGTACTAAAGGAACCTGTTTTTTGAGCACCTATGCTGTGAGCGACCCTGGTACCTATTAGTGTCAGCCCTGTGCAATGTCATAATGATGGTTACTGTTGTCTGCACAAGGCATTTCAATACAGCTAACAAGACTGATGCATGCGGAATGGGCGTTGGCAGGGAAGACCCGGGGATCCGACGTGGGCAGATTTGATCGTGTGTCTGGGGTCTCGCTGGGAGCAGGCATGCACAAGATTTGATGCATACTGACGATGATCTAGTACTTGACTCACACTGGGAATCTCGCTCAACAAGCCTAGGTTTTTTTTATAGATTCCCTTTTTCCCCTCTCAGTTAAATCAAGCAAATATAAAATACTTTGTCTCATCCTCAAACTTAAATATACTCTGTAAACTTATTTTTGAATAGAGATATTTACCAAAAGCTTTGACGACATCACCAGGACATGTACATCCACCATCCTGAATTAAATCACAAAATGAAAGAGATATCCATCCATTAAAACAAATCATAAAGATTCACTTCAGTCCTTGGTATGCACAGTGCCACTTTTGCAACGCTAATCTCAATCTATCATAAGTCTGACGGACTGCAATCACCAAACGATTTTAAATCAATAACCGAATTTCCCCACAAAATTTGCTACCTGTTGAACAAATTTACAAAGATTAAAATATACATCTTATTCAGGGTTGAAACAGTAAATAATAATTATGAATCTGAGACAATCAAACTAGCTTTGCTCTATGCAATGTCAACAAAATCCTAAGAAATCAGTGGCTTGATATTTCAGAAGCTTTAAGGCAATAGTATGTGTTACCTTAAACATTGTGAAAGCGAACACCTGACATAACAAAATTACACATATAATTACTAAAGAAGATAGGATACAGTGAAAATATTTCATTACATGAAAATTGTTACAAAACTCTGCCAAAGGAGAGAGCATATTTTAAATTATGTTTTTGTGGGAATGAAAACTTCAAATAACCAAATGAAGAATCTTACTGATATGATATGTCCGTTGAGCCCATGAGCTGCATCTGCACACTCAATGACAGCACTCAGCTGAGGGTAACCTACACCGGCCTTCTTCCTGGTGGTACACACGGAACCTAGACAAACATAGCAAGCAAAACATGTCAAGTCAAGTCAATTATATCAACGGTCAGTAGTACTGAGCACCAACCTCCCCCCCCAAAAAAAAACAAAAAACATAATGAAGTTCTAAAAAGAATATCCAAAAAGTAGAAATGGATTTAGAATTTTATTCAGTCGGTAGCAGTGATCAGCTAAGAGCCAGGAGGTTGTTAACTTACTTAAATTGCCATTTTGTCTATAAAGGGACACATTAGAGAATGTCATATTCACTCGGCATCCAGGTTACTGGTTCCAAACAACAGAGCCTGGGCATGAGGTTAATCATGAAATCATTCAAGCAACGGGCTGGAGCAGGGCGATATCAGTGTTTGGTGCTGGTGTGATCACGCCATTGTTTAGCACAAAATTGTGTGGCACTAGCAACCTTGACAACTTGGCAGGTATGATGTCACACTTCGGTACTCTGTACTGATTGGCTGAACAAAGCTTTTTGATGAGAATAATAATTGCGCCTCGCGTGAGCTTGTCCCTACAATACATGGTAAGATGGAAATCATATTGATGGCATACATTTAGTGACCGAATGGCATTGTCTTCATTGACTGGTGAGTTAATTGCATCAGAGCATTTGGGAATGATTTAATATGAGCCCAATCTAACAGCCCATCCTCCATTTCCTCTCATATATTTAATAGTGTCATTATTATTGATATTGATTTAACTGATATTTACTGAGCTCTGTTTTAAAATGGAATTTCTGCCTCTTCATGTCAGAGACAGTTTCAAGTCTTCAATTATGACATTACATGCAATAAAATCCTATTTGTTGATGCGCAACAAAGTTAGGGTAATTGGTATTATTATTAATCAAACTTGACTTTGCTCTTTGCTCTCTTCATTCTAATCCAGGGGCAGATCTAGCTTTTGCCAAGGGGGTGGAGGTTTGACCCAGTGGCGGATCAAGGATTTTCAAAAAATTGCGCCGTTTTACTGTTTTACTTTTTTTCTTCTCACTTGGCCACCGCCCCCCCCCCCCCTTAGATCCGCCCCTGTAATCTCCTGTGAAGCAGTCTCTCTGCTGCTCAGCTGTCAAACATTGTTAAGCTATGCAACTACACACAACAAAACTTGTGCCAACTTAAGATGACAGTCCACTGTAGGGGCCTTTGATGTGTAGTCCAACTGTTTTGTCCCCATTTGCATTTCTTTACACATAAAATTGTTGTATTTTGTTGTGGCAGTGTTTTTTTAGGAGGCTTATAATTACTGGACAATCGGTTGGACTATTGATAATGTCGGTTATTTTCATCAGATTCTATAAATTAAATTTGAATTAGTAAAGGTATTACATTCATTATACTATTAGGTGGGACTTTAAAGGGATCCTGTAACTTTGTCTCAGATTCTGAAACAAAATCCTGGATTTAGCTAATGCTGCAATGATAATTATAAACCTTTAGGTCAGTCAGGAGCCCCATGACTTTTACAAGCCGATCGCCTGTCTGATTATCAAAATATTTAAGATTGGAAAACGTAAATCGAAACCAAATTTTGCGTTTTCCTAACGGTTTTCATAACACTACAGTCTATTGGGGACACGAGTATGGTAAAACCAGTCACTCAAAGATTTTTACTTTTTGAGGCACTTCTTGATCATTTTGAATCATTTTTAGGGCTTCAATTATACACCATATCACAGACACAAATAACATGTAGAGCCATGCATCTCAGATTTAACATTGTTAAACGATGCCTTTAAGATTACTCACCTGGTCCGATTCCCACCTTGATGATGTCAGCTCCAGCTAAGAGCAGTTCTTCAACCATCTCACCTGTTACTACATTACCAGCCTAGAAGAACAACAAATCAGAATAGAACTAGATGGAATTCGACTGCGCGCAGTCGAAAATGATGCCTCCGTCATAGAGCAATTTTACAAACCAAAACAGAAGAAATTTTTCAAATTCAAGTTCAATTGTAATCCATTAACAGGTTCTCAGAATATCGTGATTACAAACAATTTCTCATATACATATATGACCCTTTGAACTTTGACCTCATGATCCTAATATCTACTCAGCTCATTGGCTCTGCAAGATATCCAGAGTTAAATAGTAATCCATCTGTCAGTTCTAATGAGAATGCGTTCACAAGCTATTTTTGCATACATAATGAGCCCATGACCTTGGACCTTATGAACCAAGAATCTACACAGTTCATTGGCTCTGCAAGATACATAAATGATCTAAGTTTGGCAGGAATCCATCAATCTGTTCTAATGATAACGTGATCACAAGCTGTTTTTGCATACATAATGGGCGCTGTGACCTTTGACCTTTGACCTCGTGACCCCAAAATCTAATCAGTTCATTGGCTCTGCAAGATACATACATGACCAAAGTTTGGCAGGAATCCATCTATCGGTTCTTCAGATAACGCGATCACGAGCCGTTTTGCATACATAATGAGCCCTGTGACCTTTGACCTTTGACCTCGTGACCCCAAAATCTAATCAGTTCATCGACTCTACAAGATACATACATGACCAAAGTTTGGCAGGAATCCATCAATCGGTTCTTCAGATAACGCGATCACGAGCTGTTTTTGCATACATAATGAGCCCTGTGACCTTTGACCTTTGACCTCGTGACCCCAAAATCTAATGAGTTCATCGACTTTGCTAGATACATATATGACCAAAGTTTGGTAGGAATCCATTGATCCGTTCTTCAGATAACGTGATCACGAGAACGGGACGTACGTACAGACGTACGTACAGACGTACGGACGGACGGACGGACGGACAACCCGAAAACATAATGCCTCCGGCTACTTCGTAACGGAGGCATAACAAATCAAATATATGTATAAACCATTACCAAAAGAATACGTATATATTTGACAAAGAAAAGGAAACAGATTGCTTGTTTTTTTTATTTTTAACATAAAATCAGTATATTTTAGCTGTTCTAAATGGGAGATGTTCCCATTAAAAAGAAAATGAAAAAAAGAAAGAAGGAAAGAAAGAAAGAAAGAAAGAAAGTAAGTAATGCTATGGTCACAAAGGTTCGTACGAACGATAATTTCGTACAAATTTCTGTTTTTCCATTGTCTTCCCGAATTTCCATTGTCTGAAAATCGTTCGTACGGCGTTCGTAGCAGTTCGTAATGGCATTTGTGACCGAGGCTTAAGAAAGAAATATACATGTAGGAATGGAAAGAATATTTGTATGTTCAGTCTTCTTTGAAATTACCTAACTCGATCGTTCATCATGTCTCAATTGTACAGGCAGAAAACACTTTTTCGACAACATTGTTGACTTACGTGTTTGTAAGATTCATATATATATATATATATACTCATGATGCTGATTTTCAAATCAGCATTCCATCAATATTGATAAATTTTGCGAGAAAGAAGATGTTATATTTCAGACGATTAACCATGCTATATAAGGCTCATTCCAATACGAAACTGTAAACCACTGCAAATGAATGACAACTGTGTGCAATAAAGGCCCTGTGCATACTCACTGAGCTCTTCGTTATAATAGAAATGTGACATGTATTACGTTTTGAGCCATCATGAATAATTGCCACGTTTTTGCGGCATCATATCTGGCAGGCCTAAGAGCTCTGTAATGCTGACATAGCTATTTTGGACTGTGTTTGACAACTCCATGTAAGTTTTATTTGCTGTTATGAGTTGAAAGTAATTAACTGACATTTAATACTCAAGGCAAATTTGACTTTTAAAGTGCAATAAATAGGTTAAAAAGTGGCTTCCAAGAGAGAAATTGTTTTTTTGCTTCTTGAAACCATCTTGTCAATACCAAGTATTTTACACTCACGAAAATGGTATGCTCTGGAAAGTTTCGTCTGAATTCTTTGACAGTTTGTACGAAGACTTCTGAGTAGCCATTAGCAACATCAAGACAGATGAATTGAATGGCTGGTATAGCAGCGATGATCTCGGCCACTTTGTCTGCCTCCTTCTGTGATGTTCCAGAACTAACTGCTACATGCTATAGATACAAGAAACATGCACAGGGTGGCAATGAGATATCTTATTTAATAATAATAATAACAATGTTTTATTTACCCAGGGTAGCCACTTCAGTTATGAAATTGCTCTTCCAGCGAGCCCTGCATAACTACCCTTCTCCAATCTAATATGCTGAGTGCTGAGCGCCTAGCTAGAAGGCAGAAGGTCCCATTGTTATAAGTCTTTGGTATGATTCGGCCGGGGTTCGAATCCACGACCTCCCGTTCATGAGGCGGGCGCTTTAAACCACAGAGCCATCATGCCTGACTATGTTGTACACGTTATTTGGTACAGGGTGTTTGAAGAAAAGATCTTTAAATGCATCAGAGCACATGATAAAGTGCTGTAATGCATTAGTCCACTAGCCATTTGAAAAGCACTCACGTTGTAAGAACAGATACAACCATTGTGTTTAGACTAGCATCAGCAAGTGCTTTTTCCACACACCATTCCAGCAATACATGACACTCCTTGTAGTTACTCGCCTCACCAACCATCCCATTATAGCTTTCTGAGTAAGCTGCCAAGGGATTACCCAACCAAGAACCAAGTACCAAACGAATCATTCTTACATTTGCTAAACCCATCCAGTGTTTATATACAGTCAAACCTGTCTATAGCGACCGCCCAAGGGAAACACAAAAAGTGGCCTCTGTAGACAGGTGGTCTTTGTAGACAAGTTCCTTTCGTACATATTTCAATGAGAAACCATTTTCAAGAGAAACAACAAATGTGGCCTTTGTAGACAGGTGGTCACTAAAGCAGGTTTGACTGTATATACATTTTTTATTTTAATTTTGTATACATCACAAAGAAAGAAAAGTTGGATTCAAAAGGCAATTACCCGGTAGACAAATAATGTGTAGTACAACATAGCAGAATTATTGGAGGGATGATGTATCTAGGGATAACTGGATGAACTATAAAGTAAGAAGAAAAGTTGATCCCCTATAAAATTCATTTCATTTGAAACATTAACATACATCCAGCAATAGAAGGAAAAGATTTTACACCATCCATCAGAGTATATATCTCTGTATCACGTTACCTTTAATGCCTCTGGATTGTTGTTAGCAAAGTCAACCCAATCTTGCACAGTATAATGTTTGTGGATGCAGGAAAACAGACCATGCTGTAGATAAAAAGGAGAAAAATAAACATGTAAATACATCAATACCTCAGTCACGCCACCCAAAAGACTCCAGGCTGACTCCAAACTGACTGATTTTTGGTCGCTGGAATTAATTCAATTTTTGGTTTGGCCTGTAGTCGGTTTGGTGTCTGTCTCATTAGGGTGTAAATCAATGTTATTGTTGTGCATTGGAATTAGAATATTGTGGGTGCTTTAAGAAATTTGACTATTACTTGCCAAGTCCAAGGTAATTTGTCTCATATTTTAAGGACCACATCCAAGATTTTATTATACCTGTATATCAGGCGTTCTCAACTGGCGGCGCGCGCGCCACTCGTGGCGCTTGCGGTCACTCGAAGTGGCGCGCGGCTGTTGCCCGGAAAGAAAAAGAAAAAAAGAAGAAGAAGAAAAAGAAAAAAAAATTAACAATTTTTTTTTTAAATTAAAAACCCAGCAAAATCAAGAAGTCGCAGTCGAAGTTAAGCCCCAAATGTCTGCTTAACAAACAGGAAGAAGGTGAAATTAACGGCTTTTACCATTTACTCAGGGCTATCTGCTTGAAGTTTGGGACTCTGTTGTGCAGATGTTTATCTACATTACAATGTTTATCATTGCCGATCTGAGGAAACACCGTGTATCTATTTTTAGATTGGTGATCCGCGCGCGGGTTTCTGGGATAAATCGAGCTAAACAATAATACTGCATTGCGACATTTTAAGTGGAAAAACTGGTCGGCGAGAGTGATGTCGCAATAACCACGTTAATTAATTAGGTCATGACCTCATTTGGCCTGAAGCGCACATCGTGCAAGCGTTGTTATTCCAAAAGCATTGTTTACCACTGCAACTTGCATAATAGTTTCATATAGTGTGAAAATTATAGGAATCAAGCGTGATCAGAGACCAGGGGTAACTAGGAACTTAGTATCATGGCATCTACTTCTTTTGATGCTCCGCCTGAGAAGAAAAAGAAGAAGAGAATCGGATATTCAATGATGAATGGATGCGTGAATTCTTTTTCATCCTGCCGGAAAGATCGAACGCTAAGCCGACGTGTTTGATTTGCAGCCGCACGGTAGCCAGCGTAAAGAAACACGACATTCGGAGGCATTATACTAAAACACATCAGACTTTTGAACAAAAATACCCTCTTGGTAGCAAAGAACGCGTTGAGAAATTGGCTTTTCTTGTCAAGTCACATGAATACTCGACCAGGATTATTGTCAAATCAACTACACTCCAAGAAAAAACTACGGAAGCGTCACTACGAGTTTCATGGATTCTGAACAAACACAAAATGGCATTTTCCAGTTCGGAAGTAGTGAAAGAATGCATGGTTGAAACGGCTCGCTTGTTATGTCCAAACGAAGTTGAGACCTTTCGCAAAATACCACTTTCAAATGACACTAATACCAGAAGGACCGAGGTGATGGCCGAAACTGTGAAAGAGAAACTTATTGATGCACTGAAGGTGACAGAATGTATTTCCATTGCTACCGATGAGTCCACGGACATTTCAGATGTGGCTCAGTTGTCATTGTTTGTTAGGTATCTTGATCAAGATGCAGGTTTATTTAGGGAAGAACTACTGGCGCTTATTCCAATGATGGGATCGACAACAGGGAAAGATATCCATGGAGCAATTATAAATTGCCTTCAAACAAATGAGATACCTTTGGAGAAAATCACTTGTCTCGTGACTGACGGTGCCCCTGCGATGGTCGGCAAACACAATGGAGCAGCAACTCTCCTAAAAAAAGACTGTCCGCGTTTGTTGACATTTCACTGCATCATTCATAATTCGGTATTGTGCAGTAAACTCAAAGGTGAATTCGTGAAGCCGATGAACACTATCATTAGTCTTGTTAACTTCTTACGGGCAAAGTCAGCCAAACAACACCGGGATGTAAAGGCATTCTTGAAAGAACATGAGGCTGCTTATCATGATGTACCTCTTCACACGGCAGTCCGCTGGCTGAGTAAAGGTAAAGTCTTGAGTAGAGTGTGGGACTAACGACAAGATCTCTGCGGGTTTCTTCAACAGTTGGGCAACGAATCTTCACAATCATACTTTGACTTTCTCAATGACAAGGAAGAAATGACGGTCATTGTTTTTCTTGTGGACATGTTTGAGCACTTGAACAAACTTAACCTTCTCCTGCAAGGGAAATCTATGTCCCTTTCTGACGTGAAGACAGAGGTGAAGGCATTCCAGTTGCAGTTGGATGTCTTTAAAGATGATCTCATGAGTGAAATGATTCACTTCACTCAGTTGAAGAAATACTCACCTGATGCTGATGTGGAACAATTTGTTTCGTTCATTGAGGCACTGTCAAATGAGTTCAAGGAACGTTTCTCCAACTTTGCATTCATTGACAAGCTTCTCGTGATGGTCAAGATTCCATTTGCTATGGAGGCCAATGGTCAGTGGTTGGAACAAGCAAACCTTGTGGCTCCACAGCTTTCAAAAGCAAAGCTGCAAATGCAGTTTGTACGGATGAAGGCTGACGATGAACTCAGACTACTCTTTGAGCAGAGAGGAAATGAGTCAACAGCTACATTCTGGATGAAACTTAATGTAGCACGATATGGAGAGCTAAGAACATTAGGCTTGACAGTGTCGGGGATGTTTGGAACTACATACATCTGCGAACAGAGTTTCTCACATATGAACATTCTAAAGACCAAGTATCGAAGTAGCCTGACAAATGCTCATTTGGAACATTGCTTAAGAATCTGCACAACATCATACACCCCAAACTTCAAGCAGATAGCCCTGACTAAAAAGTGCAACTTCAGCCACTAAAATTGAGGTAAGCAAGCCATTTTGTTTGTTTGATTTGCACTTATTTTGGCATTTCCCGTGTTTATTGCACCACAATGACTACATACATATTTACTTTCTGTGTAATTGTACCCAGGCATTGTACTAACTTTTTCACATCAATATGAAATTATGATTGATACATTTTGGATTAAAAGGTGTTAAAAATGCAACATCTGGGCCTTTAAAAAGCCCTAAAATCCTCCACCTATGGTGGGCCCCTGGGACCCGTCCATTGTCGGCTTGGTCGCTACATTTCCTCGCAGCACATTCATCAAACATACAGGTTGGCACTTCAACTTCAATTACATTTCGTTTTGGCGCTTCTAACAAACTAGTTGAGAAGGCCTGCTGTATATGATGACTGTATCATGCTGATAGCTCTACTACACTTTAAAGCTGACAACAAATCAGATTCTGTTTTTCAACAATTACAATTCAATATTACTTGGTAAGGGATGGAACGAACACTATACTTACATACATACAGTACATGTAGAATGGGGGCTATTTTGAACCCCCGTGGGTCTGGACACATGATGGCGTTTATCTATGCACATCACATTTTCACTTGGCAGCCCAAGGGGGGGGGGGGGGGGGGGGGGGGGGTTTAAACCCCATAACCCCCCCCCCCCCCCCCCCCCCCCCCCCCCCCCCCCCCCCGTTGATCCGCCCTTGCTACATGTAAGTCTAGTTGTCAACTTTGTACTACAGCCTATGGAATTACATGTAGTGGACAACTAGCTTACTGTAGTAAGGTTTTATTGATACGGTATGGGCCCTGGTGTTCAAAACGAAGAATAAAATGTTGTAATTGAAAGTTTTTACTCATTGGCGTTAACTTGCTCCAACAAGCAAGACTCCTGTGCAGTTGGCTTCCTGACAATTAATCTTGTCACCGAGCAACCAAAGGTCAATGAACTTAACACTAGCCCTGGCGGGGTCAACAGAAAATATGCTGCCAAACAATTTTAATGGAAATAATTAAGTAGATGCAGCAAAATAAAATCAATTACAGCAAGGAAAATAAAGAAATAGTAAAATTTCCTATTTAGTGGACAAAAGAATCTTGTCAAATTAAGTCAACTTAGAATAGAAAGAATGTGAGAAAATGAACTCACACTAGCAAGAGCTTTGGCCATCTCAAAGTTTCCCACAGTGTCCATGTTAGCTGCCATGATAGGGATGCCCTCATACGTCTTCTTGGAATTCCTGAAGGTGTAATTCCTCGTCAAATTTACCTATAGAAAGAAGGGGAGGGGGGGAGGGATAAAGGGAGAGAGAGAGAGAGAGAGAGAAAGAAAGAGAAAAATATGAAAACCTTGAAATCTAATTGTACAACATACTGATAACAAAATGCATATATTTTTTTAAAATGACATACCGGTAATGCAGTCAAGCTATGAGGGATCCATTGCTTACATTCACATGATCTATCCTACATCTCATATGATCAGCAAATGATTTTTCTAAAAATGTTCATGGAATGTAAATTGAATATGATTTCAAAACCTGCTGGTACACTATAGTCATATATTATTACTGGCATTGCATATTATGCATGCCAGTATAGTGAAAATATATTTACAGTACATGTGCATGGATGCAGCAAGTTAGGAAAGTAAATATTCTATTAAATTTTCTGGGGATTTTTTTGGTTCATAATTGTCATCAACTTTGAAAGGTACTGGTATTTACAAAATGCATCTATCACAAAGGGTCCCCACATTAATTAAAAAAGAGAGAGAGAATTCTGTGCAATTTCCTTCGTGAAAGAGTGAAATACAACAGCACAACACATAGTGCATTGTGTCCTTCATTTCTGTATCCAGCAAAATGAAAGAACTCTAGCCTGGTTTCACCTGCTTAACTTCACAAGGCATAAACAAGCCAGAATGGATTTTTCACCCAGGACAAAATCTAGTCGTTCTCAGTTCCTGTCAATTTAGAGTCCATTTAGCAATTAAATGTGCAATGATGTGTTCCTATTAGAGTATGAGCCTCCTATCTCTCCATCTCATTATAATGGATGCTATCAATCAATCAATCTAGCTCTTGATATATCTAAAGGTCATCTCATCTGAACCTGTCTGTGATGTGATCGTCTTCCCGAGACTTTCTACCAGGTAATGATGGTGAGGTTTAGGGGTACCGTAGTACTATCTGCTTCATGCATTTCTTTATCTTGCATGCAGGTATTGGCTCAGAATATAATCAAATCAATTTTCATCAGCATTATTCACATATAAAAATATATTAAAATATTTCCAGTAATGCATTCACATGTAATTTCAATCAAACATTCTCATATCTAAAAGAGAAATTTGGTTGTAATCAGCATTATTTCACACATTATTTAAAATATCTACTTTTTGTTCAGCTTATTAACAGGAATACGGCTTCTTTAAATATCATGTTAATTGAAATAAACAATAATCAAATTCCAAGTTTTAATGTGCAGTTCAGATTATTCTTATTTTCCACATTAATTAGTTTCCCTTCTTAAAATGGCAACATTAATTTCATTTTCCACTCCTTCAATTGAAAAAAATCAAAAGGTTTATTGCCAATTTGTACATGTACGAACTAAATACCGGTAGTGATGTCATATTTTGCACCATTTTGCCAATTTAGAGATTTCAATGATTGGTTACAATTAAATTGGTCTCAATACCGCATTGGAAATGAAACAAACTAAACTTTTTCTGTGATTTTCACACTTTGGGCTAATTCATCATGTTTAAATTCCTATCATTATGGATCAAAAGATAATGCAAAAATATCAGTAAAGGAGAAACTGTATTGATACGGGTTAACAGAGAAAAAGAGCTTCACATTTTTAGTTTACATCTGTATCTAAAACTCCCTGAACACCATCCACATTAGCATGCAAAAAGTTAAAAACCCATGTACATGTATACAGTACTGCTTGAAATAAAGTACCGGTAGACACATTACCACCTACATGTACATGTAGTCACACCAAAGTCTATAGAGTACAGAAGCTGTGACGTCATAAAAATCTAATTTTAGAATTTCTCAATTTTTTCTTCATTTTCCGAAAGAGGATAAAAAATAATGTCGAAATATCGAAAACCAATTGAATATGTTAAGTATTGGCTGAGATATGGCCATCTGTTATATGCTCTGGCTCCTAGTGGTTAGGAGCCAGAGCATATAACACTGAGCTCCTATGGGGAGTATATTTAATCAGATGGTCATATCTCAGACAATACTTAACATATTCAATTGGTTTTCGACATTTGCACATTATTTTTTTTGCTCTTTCGGAAAATAAAGAAAAAATTGAGAAATTCTAAAATTAGATTTTTTGATGACGTCACACACTTCACCACTCTATGGAACAATAAATGCATTCACACATGACACAGTGTGAGAGTGTCTACATGTACTTTATTTTAAGCAATACTGTGGATACAAACTTGCATCTCTTGTTAAATTATGTCTGAAGTTATGAACCAAATGGATATATATTTTCACCACAATTGTGCACATACATGTACATGTATTACAAGAGAAAGTGCACACAATGGAACCTGTATGTAATAAACCACATGCGTATGATACAGAAATGTATACAAAAAACATTAGTCTAATTTGATACTCTCATATGTCACAACACAGCAAATCAAATGGATATCATTGTGCATTGATATCAAAGTTTACAACATCTTGAACAAATTTAATTTTAAAATGGCCGTGTACTAGAAATATTTACAGAAAAGTGAGGAGAAACATTGAGAAAATGTGTTACAATTGAAGATAGGCAGGCTTGGGTGTAATTTACAGAACTTTATTGCGGCATGACTTAAGTAAAAATGAAAACTATAAAACTGTCCAACTCACTGCCAAGACGATGGGCCAAAAAAAAAAAAAAAAGATTTTTTTTATTTGTGTACAATGTTTTTGTAGGTCTTCTCTAGCAGAACACACACATTTTGTAAAGTATAACTTTATCTTTAATGGCTTCTCTTCTACATGCATTTTCTCAAAATGCAAATTACATACCGTAGACCTACATAAACGTGTCTTCTGATGAAGAATATTGTAAACATTTTATCTTCTCAATTTTCAGCTCTGGTTCAATTTACAGTATTTCATTTGCTTAAACACTTTTATAAAAACAATACAAAATTAAAAGCTGCCATGGCTATTGGTTTTCTGATTCAAGACTACATATTCTGATTATGATCAATGAAATTATTTTCACTTTTACAAGAAAACATTTTTTGAAGGTAACTAAAATTAAAATATCTTTAAATTTTGTAGACAAGCATGATTTTGGATGCCTTCACAGTCACAGTAAATTGGAAAGTTATGATTACCATGTGCATTGTGCAGTCATTGGATTCAATTATTATTCTTCACAGAGTGCACCCTCTCCATTCCATTAATATAGAGCATTTTGGCCTGTCACCATTTTTAGTGGCACGAACATGCTAGTTTAAACAAAAATACATGTAAACCTGTACATGTATGATGGGGGTGGTTGTCCAGACATTTATTTTTGCCTTTGGATTTAATGAAAAATAATAATCAAATAGCCCTAACCATCTTCAGAATATTAATCAAATATTGCTGTTCAACTTATTCATATGGTGTTTCAAATCAACTGTCAGGACACACGGCTGGATAACATGCAGTACTGGGTTCCCATTTGTACACGTGAGTGGAGAGAACTTCAAAGAAGGAATGTATTATGTAGATAAAATTGGGACACAGTACTTGAGATGGGATGCAACAGTAAAGAGGGACAATAAGCTAAGCTTCCAGTCTCTACACCCAAGTATACCCAAGTAGATTTCTAAGTAAGTAAGTAATTTAAATACTGTGCTTTGGACTGAACCCCATAACCGTGTCACCTCCAGTCAAATTTCTTGACAAAGACACCTCTTCAAATCAAAGTTTTATGTGTTATGTATGATGTAGAAGAATTAGTAGTAGTAGGAAGTCGACATGATTTTCTATTTTATTTATAACAAAACCCAAGTTTGGTGAAATGGAATGGAGTTAATGCCTATGGAGTATGGACTAGTATGGCTATGGGTCTACAGAAGTTTTTTATGACTGTAAATCATTGTTGTTATTCTCGACCCTGCGTTACATAAATTAAGTGACAATTAACACAAATTTACACTCCAAACATACCTTCAAACAGGCGCGTACTTAGGGAGTAATTAACCCCCCCCCCCCCCCCCCTTTAACTTTGTTTATGTGTTTTGGAGAAACCCCCTCCCCCCTTTTCTTTGTTATAATAAAAAAATATTTAAAAAAAATTGTGGTAATGGGTGACCCCCAAAAAGCTGACCTTAACCCCCCCCCCCCCCCCCCCCCCCCCGCTTATTCAGGAGACATGAAATTTTTGAGACAAAAAAAAAAATGTCCTCTTACCAAGTCTTAGTCTTAGTCTTACTAGTCTTACCATTCCGCAGCTGGCTGAGTCGTTGCGAAATTTTTGGTGTGATTTTCAAATTTTAAACCCCCCCCCCCTCCTCGAAAAAATCCTAGGTACGCGCCTGCCTTTAAACAATTAAAGACATGACAAATAGTCTACTAACGACTAAAAGTTAGGCCTAACGTCAACGATTTGGATTAGCTCTAGAAATCTGAGGCAAATACAGACCTAGATTGCTAGAATTTAAAAAAAGTAGAAATTAGAATCTGGTTAGAATGTGAAAAATTGGGGTGTGAAAATGAAATGACCAAACAACCACATGATGTACATCACTTCAATTTACTGCACACAATCAGACAATAGCCATGGCAGCTTAAAATTTCACTTTATCTTGAAGCTCCACCTCTGATCGGCTCTTCAATGTGCTCCTCTTTGGGCGAACAAGCACATCTTTGAAGTCCAGCTTGATGTCACTGTCGATTCTTGGCATGATGGATGTCTGCTAAACAATGCTGGTGGAACACAGATGTAATTGGAAATTTAGATGACACCTAGGTCTAGTGCCTTAGTGGATTGGTGCCGATGTGTTTCTTTGGTGGTTAATGCCTGGCTGGAGCTGGAGTCTTTTGGAGTATTTGGAGACACAGTCACAGTGATGAGCAGCTCGATTATGAACAGTCCAGAAACAGTTGAGTTTGTCAGCTTCTGCAACTTTGTCCTTGAATTGAGAGCTCAAATAAGTCCGGTCATTAAAAGTGTGCTAATTCCTTCTTTAACAGAGAAGCACTTCAGCACGTCGGGAATTCCGCTTCTACCAGAAAACAGATATTTAGCTGATGATATTGAATTGACGATCACCTCTGTTGGAAGCAAGATCACCGTCAAAACATTCTTCGCATAATTCCCGCGCGCGCGTTCGATCTCGTATATCTCTCGCAGATATATCGGTGAAGCTTTTCTTCACACACCTAATCGGAGATGAAGGTAGCCCATGTAATGTGTAAAAATTGCCAATTTGATAAGTGTAAGGATCGCATTGTACACATACAACCGCTATACTACACACACGCAATATATTCTTTGTGTATTGTATCCGTCAGGCATGATCAGTGCAACGATGGCTGGCTACCAATTAAAATAGGCATGGTGGTCGGATATAATGAGAGTAGATGATGGAAGGGGGGGGGGGGGGGGGGGGGGGGGGGGGGGGGGTAAAGCGCAGTACTTAGGGGCAAATCAAAGAATTATACTAAGACCTCACCTCATGTATGTTAGAAATTAAAAAGTTATTATCTTCTTTTGAATTGCAATATATCCCGACCATAATTCATGCATGAATGTTATTTGTCATATGTTATATACTTGAAAGGTGGTACAAGATTCAAGCTCTATTTGCTTATGTTTCATCACCTTTGTGTGTTCTTTCTTCAAACTGTATATTAGTTGCAACGTGTCTATGATAAATCATTGTTATATTCTTTTTCATGTGAAGTCAATTCAAATGGATTGTAAAATTGAAATGATTTGTTATATTATTTATATTCATTTTCATGTGATGTTAACTTCAATGAATTGTGAAATTGTGAACATGCATGCATGCATAAATAAATAAATAAATAAAAAAATATGCCTTCTCTGGGAAAAGGGGCATTGACTCTTTAAATACCAAATCACAGAAACTATTCACCATTATGTCAACGTCATGTACATATTTTCTATGGATATATTTTTTAAAATCTCAACTCTTTACCACATCAGCGTCATGTACATTGTCGACGGATAAAGTGGAATATTTATTCTTCACCACCCTACGCGAAATTTTCACCAACCTAGCGTCATGTACAGTGTCTATGGATAAACTGGAATATTAATTCTTCACCACCCTACGCTAACTTTTCACCACTCTAGCGTCATGTACATTGTCTATGGATAAACTGGAATATTAACTCTTCACCACCCTACGCTAACTTTTCACCACCCTAGCGTCATGTACATTGTCTATGGATAAAGTGGAATATTAACTCTTCACCACCCTACGCTATCTTTTCACCACGCTAGTGTCATGTACATTGTCTATGGATAAAAGGTAATATTAACTCTTCACCACCCTACGCTATCTTTTCACCACCCTAGCGTCATGTACATTGTCTATGGATAAACTGCACTCTTAATTTTTCACCACCCTACGCTAACTTTTCACCACCCTATATAGCGCCATGTACATAGTCTATAAACTGGAATATTAACTCTTTACCGTGTTAGTTTGTGTTAGTTATGCCTATGCCTTCACGGTGACCATAATGGTAGGAATACTCCCCAGCAGAGGCCGCACTCCTGGGGGGGGGGGGGGGGTAGGGGCACAGTGCCCCCTCCCCCCACTTTTTCAAGCACCCGAAAAGTGCCCCTTTTCACATAGGAATAGTGTTCCTTTTACTCTGATAAGTGCCCTTTTTATTTGACACGTGCCCCTTTTCCTTCGACAAGTTCCCATTTTCCATTGCAATAAGTGTCCATTTTCCATTCTGGTAAGTGCCCTCTTTAATCTCTAGTACTAGGGTAGGTGTGGGGAATTGGAGACCTTAAGCACATTTCCATAATTTACATAAACATGCAAAATGTTACACATACAGAAAGTTTTGTTTTCTCTTAGTAACTTCTTCTCTTTATTGGGAAACAAAATTGTGGTCATGATGTAACTGATTAATAAGATAAAAATAATTTATGACGTCATCACCAAAGGTCTCTCATTACCAACATGCGTAGGTAATAAGGGACAGTTACAAATCAAGACATTTCAAATCAAGACATCAAGACAAAAATGGGATTGTTATAGTTAGTTCAAACACTTTTTGAAAGAGATATATGCAGCCAATGAACTTACTGTAAGTTTGAAACGATTTTGAAAGAAGAAATTAATCCCATATTATCCGCTGTTATGCTTTATAATTCATTGATATTACAGTATATAACATATTGCAATTTAGTATTGGCCACCGCCCAAAATCAAAATCAACTCTATTTATTTATTGCAAAAGAAAGCCCTTCGTATTTTGTACTGGTTCACCATTATTTATCTCACACAAGTCCAATATTTACAAACTGAAAAAACCTTACAGTATTCGACATAAATTCGCTACAATGTTACTGATCATGTTAAGTATTTAAAAAATATGCTCCCTCTTTCATTCAAAACTTTTACACTATGAATGAAGCATTCACTCTTACCCTACTCGTAATTCCTCAAATTTTCATCTAGTATACCCGAAATAAATCCATAAGACACCATGGTCCTGACCTATGGAACTTTCTCCAGAATCTATTAAATCATGTTGCTCCCTCTCAGGGCCGTAGCCAGAGTTTGATGTTTAGGGGGCGGGGGGGGGGGGGGGGGGGGGGGGGGGGACACATACATGTAATTGATCGACGTTCTGGGGAGGGGTCTAAACAATTTCAATTTTTTTGACGGGGGGCACGTGACCCCCCCCCCCCCGTGGCTACGGGCCTGCTCACTCTACTCATTAAGGCCAAAGTTAAAACGATGTTATTATCAGAATACTCAAGGTAGAATTTCTGTGTCAACTCTTCATTGTTTATCATGTCATCTCTTCTTTCATTCGAATCATTATCATCATCATCATCATCATCGTCTTCATCATCATCATCATCCTCATCTGCATTGTCAATATCACCATCATCGAAATTTGTATTTCAATTACCTATCCGTATCTGCTTAATATGTGTGTTAATATATTCATGAGTTTTTGTCTGGGCTGCTGTCGTATTATCAAGCAATCTGCTTACAATGACAGTCCTCTTCCGCAAATAATTGTATCATGTTTTATAATGTTTGAGGAAACGTAGTATATATATGTATTTGCTAATTTATGATTAATTGTCAGAAAAATACTTATTGTACTTTATATTATTATTGTTATTGAAAAACTGTATGATTACACGAATGCAGAAGAAAATATAATCAAATCAAAATATACTTATGTTATTTTATCTAAGGTCTTTTCAGTCTTCCGTTATGAAAATGTACTTATAACCCTATCAGGATTGGTTTTTTTTCCTCTTTATAAGATGTAATTTTTCGCACTGCGACCTCACAAATCTTAACACTTTTCCTCGCTCGCAAATAAATGTTCAGACCATCACACCCAACTGCAAAGCATGATGCATTATGCAATATCTTGTATGGTGTATAAAGTGAAACAAATATTGAAATCATCCCTGATAATGTAAACACAATGTAGGGGTATATACCGAAGTCTAAACAGTGTCTATTTTCTCTTTGAGATTTCCCTTTGTAGCCTAGGTGCCTTTTTTTCTTCAGAAAGTGTCCTTTTTTCTTGGTGCCCCGCCCCCTTCACTTTTGAAGTCGCTCGGGCCGCCCCTTTTCCCCAGTGAGTGGAGACTACAAACTTGCGATTGATTGGAGGACTTACGATTGATTTGGATCAATCGTAACTCTATAAGACGGGGACAACTAAGCTCTCATGAAATTCTCACAATGATACACATCTGAAGTTTGAAAAACAATATTAAGACTGCGGACACCAGAATATTTCGAAAACTAATAAATATTTATTGAGAAATTACAGGAAATGCCAATGCATATATGACTTTTTTTTCCTTTCAATTCTATTTTCTCTTCTTCGTTCTCGTAGACATAGCCTCTACGGTAATACATGGCAACATTAGAATAAAGAATCATTACTAGTACTGTATAGATCAGGCGCGCCGGAAACAGTTTGGGATGGAGGGGGGGGGGGGGGGGGGTTGGGGTGGCAAACATTCCAGGGGGCTCACCTTCCAGGGGCAGTGACGTAATGAGAAAAAACGTTCGCAAGGGGGGGGGGGGGGGAGACGAAAAAATCTGCATCACCACCAGTCTTACATGTTACATGCATCTCCCGCGGAACGTTTTCAAAGTGGAGTATTAACGATCAGGTAGAGCGTAAATTGGCGTAGGGTCCAGGGCATGAGTCTCGGTAGGGGGGTCAAGGGGCTGAGCCCGGAAGCTCAGGGGTTTTAGGTATTAAATTACGGTTAGATGAGCATCCAGGGGCCCTCTTTAAGGCCATTGACGTGTTCCAGGTGGGGAGCCCCAGAAGCCCAGAGGTTTTAATATTTAACTACAGTCAGATGAGCATCCAGGGGCCCGCCCTATAGTGGGTCCAGGGGGCAGAGCCCCCGGAAGCTCAGGGGTTTTAGGTATTTAATTACGATCAGATGAGCATCCACGGGCCCGCCTTAGGGCCCTTGGTGGGGTCCAGGGGGCAGAGCCCGCGGAAGCTCAGGGGCTTAGGTATTTAATTACGGTCAGATGAGCATCCAGGGCCCGCCTTAGGGCCATTGACGTGTTCCAGGGGGGGGGGGGAGCCCCCAGAAGCCCAGAGGTTTTAATATTTAACAACGGTCAGATGAGCATCCAGGGGCCCGCCCTATAGTGGGTCCAGGGGGCAGAGCCCCCGGAAGCTCAGGTGTTTTAGGTATTTAATTACGATCAGATGAGCATCCACGGGCCCGCCTTAGGGCCCCTGGTGGGCTCCAGGGGGCAGAGCCCGCGGAAGCTCAGGGGCTTAGGTATTTAATTACGGTCAGATGAGCATCCAGGGCCCGCCTTAGGGCCATTGACGTGTTCCAGGGGGGGGGGGGAGCCCCCAGAAGCCCAGAGGTTTTAATATTTAACAACGGTCAGATGAGCATCCAGGGGCCCGCCCTATAGTGGGTCCAGGGGGCAGAGCCCCCGGAAGCTCAGGTGTTTTAGGTATTTAATTACGATCAGATGAGCATCCACGGGCCCGCCTTAGGGCCCTTGGTGGGGTCCAGGGGGCAGAGCCCGCGGAAGCTCAGGGGCTTAGGTATTTAATTACGGTCAGATGAGCATCCAGGGCCCGCCTTAGGGCCAT